GCAGCTTCTTTAAAAATAAGAGAGGCTCAGCCAATCGAAGGTCTCCAGACCGACGCTATCTCTCTCACTTAATCCAGGACCAGGAGAGGGATAATTTGATTAAACTGAGACCCTAATTTATTTGGCTTTAGTTCTGGATCAACCTCTCCTTAATAGAGTGCTGTCGCCCCCAATTGTGTGATGGAAATTAAAGTGACATAAATGCCATGGGACTCTTTCAATCTGATTAGCCAGCGGAGACACATCAATACCACCCCAGCCATCAGACTCTGGCGTCCTTCCTTTCACCAGCCCGGCTAGCAACTGACAACGGCTTCTTGAAGGACCAGCACCCACGCCAACGTGTGGGCCCCCATCCTCAGCCCATCATCCCTCTCAATGGGCCCTGGTGACAAGGTGTCCACACCTTTCTTCAGGGCTGTTCTCCAGACAAAGCTAAATATTGTTTTATTAGCAATCAATGGCTGTTAATCCCAACAGACTTCACAAATCCTCTGAGCCCTCAAGCTCATTATAAATCCGCACTTTTCCAAGCGCACTAAATTTTGAATTTCACTTCCTTCACTCTGATGGCGTGGCTTTTTAGCTGCTGAATTAGACTCTAAAGCAAAGGGTCAACGGCTTCCAAGGACTCAAAAAACAAGCAGAAATGAGGTCCCTGGGACTGGCTACAGACACCAATGTGTGCTAGGTTTGGAGGAGGGGCAGTTGGCATAAGGAAGATTATATTTATCCAGTGGAAAGACCTAGCTTTAATCTTACTCCTGTTCTTGTTCTCTACTACTTAAATTAAAAACAGTAGAAAAAAAAAACTTCTGAAGCCACTCCATACCCCAGGGTGTTTTTCAGAAAAACTGTACCTCACAGTCTAAGCATACAACAAGAGAAAAACCAGGCCTCTCTTCTGAGAGTATTAAGCCCATCGTGTTAGTGAGTCTTCAAATCCCATAGCTAATCTGTCCTACTCTAAGATGGAGAAGTTTTTTAAAATAAGGGGTTAAGTTTTCATGGTGTGTTTCTTTCCCAGATCTCCTCAAAAGTGCATACATCTTGGCAGAAATGAGTCTTATTAAAATCCAAGCGTACAGAATGCATCTTCTAGTCCCAATGTTTGAAAACAATCTAACAACACTACAATACTGTGGCTCTGGAACAACTCATCTTTGTTGCCATTTTCTTGTTGCTTTGAGATAGGGTCTTATGTGAATAGGGTCTCTGGCTAGCCTCAAACTCACTTATGTAGCCAACAATGATGTTGAAGGCCTGATCTTCCTGCCTCTACCTCCCAAATGTGGGAATAATAGGCCAAGAACAACTCAATAAACGTGATGTTTTGAGTGAGAAATGCCCCCATAGTCTCAGGCATTTCAATACTTGGTCTCCAATTGGTGGCACTAATTGTGATATTTCAGAGATGTGGCCTTGTTGGAGGAAGTATGTCTCTGGAAAGCAGGCTTTGAGGTTTCATCCCAGTGGGCTCCCTGTTTCTTGCTTGTGGTTCAAAACCTGAACCCTCAGCTTGCTGCTCCAGCAACAAGCCTGCCACCTGCTGCCTCTGCCCTGCCATCAAGTACTCTAATCCTCTGGAACCATAAGCCCAAATAAACCCTTCTGTAAGTTGCCTTGGTCGTGTGATTTACAATAGAAAAGTAACTGACAACGCATTCTGTATTCTCAGCGCTTCCCCCTCACGCCCCTCATAAATCCAACTTTAACAACCATTTAAACCTTATTATAAATTACTCTCTGAACAACTTAACTAAAAACTGACACCAGTAACAACTCAGAGGCTCCTACACATACCCACTGCAAAAACTTTTATGCAGGACTCTCCCTTGGAAAGGCCAAGAAACCCATACTCTTGAGTTTTATCTCATTCTTTCCTTAAGTATTTATTAACCACCGAGCTTGACTGTTAAAAAGTATGTTTTAATAAACTCCTATTCTGCTTCATATTGGTTCTTCCTGACATTCTTTCCTGTAACAAAGTCACGCATCTTGGTTTTGCCTGAAAAGACGTCTCTAAGGGGAAAACGCCTCAGGCTGCAGAGTGGGTTCTAAACTGTCAAGCTTTCGCAGTGAGACCCTATCTCAAAACAAAACAAACAAACAAACAAACAAAGCCACTAACATGTTGCGGTTCCCAGCCTGGAACGTGACAAACCCAAACTTTTTTTGTTTTGAGACACCATGTTGCTACTTGGCCCAGCTGCCTTTGAACTCTCAGCAGCTTTCCTTGCCTCGGCTTCCCGAATATTGAAATTAGAAGCCTGTGCCGCTCTGCCTGGCTCAACACCGAGTTTACTACTTGCTTGTGAGAGTCTGCGCAGCCGCAGAGGTTGGAGTCCGTGTCCGTTTGCTCAGCTGGGAACCAATAAAGTTGAAGGTCTTCAAAGTGGGTCTAGCCGCTCAGGCCCTGTTGGACAATCCTGAAAAAGATCCGGATTAGAAACTCGCGCGCAATTCCAGGTCTTCTCTTACTCCTCAGCAGCGCAGTCCTTCCTATTCACTCGCGGAGCTTTCGTGCTGAGGAGGAGGAGGAGGAGGAGGAGGAGGAGGAGGAGGAGGAGGAGGAGGAGGAGGAGGAGGAGGAAGAGGAGGTGGGACACTTCCGGTGCCGCGGGCGCTGCGTTTCCGGTGCGCGGGGAAGGCGGCTGCGGGAGGCTCTCACGGTCACGCGGGGTCCCCACGCTGGCACCGGCAGCATGAAGCCCAGGCCTGCGGTGTTCGTAGACGGGAAGCTGAAGCAGCGAGTCATCCAGGTGCGTGTGTGTCTCGGGACCCTGCGTCTCCGTCTTCGCGCGGCTCGCTGAGTTCCGGCGTGCTCTGTGGACGCTTGCCCCGTGGAGGCCGATTCCGGCCTGCCCTCCCCGTGGAGGTCGGGATTCCGGTCTCCTCTCAAACCACGACACGGGTTTCCTTCCAGTGCCCATAACTCAGACGTGAATTGCTCAGGGGACAGGTAAAAGGGAGCCTGGGTGCTTTGCCAGCGCCGTCTTTTCCTGGCTGGGGCGCTCTGTGTGGCGGATGCCGTCAGTGATGCCGGCAGCAAGCATCACGAGTTAAAAGGAGGGAGAGGTTTTATTACTGTTGGCTTTTACTGAGACAGCGTCGTACTTCGTGCGTAGCCCTGCCTGGCCGGGGATTCGCTGCATAGATAGACCAGGCTTACTAACCCTACGGTCTGCCTGCCTCTGCTTCTCCAGTCCTCGGTTAAAGGCTCTGCCACCACGCCCCGAAAGGCATTTCTGTTTCTGTTCCCCCCGACCCCCCGCCCCAGACACGGTTTCTCTGTGTATCCCTGGCTGTCCTGAAACTCGATCTGCAGACCAGGCTTCCCTTGAACTCAGTGATCTGCCTGCCTCTGCACCACCACCACCCCGGCTATCTTGAATTCTTCATATCCAAGTTCCAGACAGCTTTGTGAGTGACAGATGTCAAACATTTGCTGCTGTATTCGTGTGTGTTTCAGAATGCAGGATGTATAGCAAGCCCTCACTATCTTAAAGATATTGGATTGTAGTAGCGGCTAAGTAGTTAATTAAAATTTCCAAACCAGGCAGTGGTGGCACACACTCAAGAGGCAGAGGTAGGTAGAGCTCTGAGTTTGGAGTTCAAGGCCACCCTGGTCTACAGAGTGAGCTCCCCGAACAGGCAGGGCTACACAGAGAAACCCTGTCTTGAAAAACAAAACCAAGCCGGGCTTTGGTGGCCCACGCCTTTAATCCCAGCACGCGGGAGGCAGAGGCAGCCGGATCTCTGTGAGTTCGAGGCCAGCCTGGTCTCCAGAGCGAGTGCCAGGATAGGCTCCAAAGCTACACTGAGAAACCCTGTCTCGGAAAAAAAAAGAAAAAAACAAAACCAAACAACAACAAAAATCCAATTACAGATGTGGCAATTTAAAAAAAAAAACATGTTTGTGATATGTTGTGATATGCTTTTGTATTTTGTGGTACACTTTATATTCCTGAAGAATTTGCATAAAAGTATGTGTTGGAATAACGAAACCTCTTAATTTACTGATTGAAATCCCTTAAGTTAATATTTGTCATATTTTCTCTTTTAGTACCTCACCAGTAATAGATGTGGCAAATATGTAGACACTGCAGTCTTAGCATCTGACTTGCAAAGAATGTACAGGTAAAGAAATTTACTTCTAAATCCTTGCTTTTTTTTGATACCCCCCCTTTCCATTTTAAATATTCCATCTTGCTCAATTTTTCAATTGATGTCAGTGGCTGCTGGTATTATCTTACCAACTCATAACTCCCCAGAGTTAACTCCTTTTACCACAGGAAATGGCTCCTTTCTTTTATTGTCTCTTCCATTGGCCTGGAGATAGAGACTGCTCTATTACTTCATTTCAGCAGAAAATTAAAATCATCAACCGTGTTCTTCCTCAACTCTCAGGCTGCCCCACATATGTAGCTTCAGGCACCAGGTGTGTGTCAGATCCCCAAGAGCTGGAGTTGCAGACAGTTGTGAGCTGCCTCATGGTGCCGGGAATTGAACCTGGACCCTGTGGAGGAGCAGCCAGTGCTCCTAACTGCTGAGCCATCTTCCCAGCTCCATGGTCTCTTACTTTTGTACTTGAGGTTGGCCTGCCATTTTCTGGGAATTCTGTCTCTGCTTTGCCTCCCTGTACCTACCTTCATGTGAGTCTTGGGCATTCTCACTCAGGTCCTCTCACACTTGGACAGCAAACGACTTATCTACTTCGCCGTCTCCCTGGCCCCATTTACCTTATTGGAAATTTTAAAAAATTACATTTAATTTATATATACATGTATGAGAGAATGAGAGAGAGAGAGAGAGAGAGAGAGAGAGAGAGAGAGAGAGAGAGCACATGTGCCATGGCACACCTGTGAAGTTGAGACAACATTGCAAGAGTCAGTTCTCTCCTTTCACCATGTGGTCCTGGGGATTAATTTATAGTCAGGTTTGGTAATATGCATCTTTATCTGCCATCTAACCACCTCCAAATACCTTTGTTTTTTGTTTTGTTTTGTTTGAGACAGAGTCTCACTGTGTAGCTGTGGCTGGCCTGTAAACTGTGTAGACCAGGCTGTCACTGAACAGACCAAGATCCATTTGCCTCTGCCTTCTGAGTTCTGGAATTACAGGCATTCACCAACATTCCCAGTATGAATAATTTATATTTGGTAAAGACATGTCACAGCACTCAGGCAGAAGCAGGCAGAACTCTGTGATTCCCAGACAACCAGGACTACATAGAGAGACCCTATCTGCAGAAAAATAAAATAATTTACTTGTAAATCACAGATACACACTGTTCATCAAAACGTTTGTGTACTATCTTTAGCATATAATCTTAAATGTTTGAATCTGAATTTAATAATGAAGAAATGTTAGATAAAGCTAGATAAGGAGAATTTTAAAAATTCCTATTCTCTTCTAAATTAATGTCAGTATCATTAGTAATAGCCTACACCTATAATCCCAGTACTTTGTTGCAATTCTGAGTTTTAGTCTATACTGGACTAAGTAGCAACATTGTCTTCAACTCCAAAAACAAAACAGAAATGTCAGTGTAACTGTGCTGCCAGAGCAGCATTTAATCCCAATATTTAGGAAACAGGTGGATCTCTTAGCAAGTTCCAGGCTAGCCAGGGTTACAACCCCCTGTCTTGAGTATAGGTAGAAGTACCTATCCTGCCCACCAGTTCCCAAATAACACAGAGGCTTAATATTAATAATAAATGATCTGCTGATAGTTCAGGCTTATTACTAACTAGCTTTTACAACTTAAATTAACCCATTTCTATTAATCTATGTATTGCCACATGGCTTGTGACTTTACCCATCCTACACCATGTCTTGCTCCCTCTGTGACTCCGGTGACTCAGCCCTTCCCCCCAGCATCCTTAATTTGGTTGTCCTATACTTCCTGCCTGGCTACTGGCCAATCAGCTGTTTATTAAACTAATCCCAGTGACATATCTTTACAGTGTACAAAAGGATTATTCCACAGCACTTGAGGTTGAGACAAATGGCCCCATTTTGTTCACAGAGTGACACTTGACAGTTTATCAGTATAACATTGCAAGTTTGGTGGAAAACATTTGTGAAAACTGTGTGCTAAAAGAAAAAAAAATTTTTTTTCTTCCCAGTGTAGATTATGGCCGAAGAAAAAGAAATGCTTTTAGGATTCAGGTAGAAAAAGGTGAGTCTTTTGCTGTTTGAGCAGAATTACCACATCTATGCAAATAACTGTTTTAGTTCATGGCATTTTATCTTATTTGTTGCAGTATTTAGCATAATTAGTAGTGAAAAAGAACTTAAGAATCTGAAAGAATTAGAAGATGAACATCTGGCAAAAAGAGCAAGGCAAGATGAAGAGGATGAGTAAGTATTGCAAAGTGTTTTCCCTGAAGTCCTACATTCACACTTGGAAAACTTGCAGTGGCTCTTTTTGGCCAAAAGTGCAATTATACCTGAACATTTTTCTACCTTACATTGTCTTTTCCTCCAGCTATAGTGATTGTTCTGTATTGCTAAAGACATTTTGACTGGTTTCCAGTAGCTTAAGTATTCATATCTATTTCACAAATCCCACTCAGCCTTCAAAAGTCAGTGAAGATGTCAATCTTGGCCTTCTTAGATCCCTTGTGTGTGTTTTCTTAACATCTGGTTATAGAGATTTACTATAATCTTTATATCATCTGGCATTGAAATTGTTTACTGTTTTGTATTACCAACACAGTTGTCTCCTGTTATTTTTTGCTTTAATATAATGCCAGGTATATTAAAAGAAGGCAGTAATGTTAATGTTTAAATATGTTATGACTGGGGTACTCATGTTAAAAATGCAAGCTTTTTTGTAGCTGGATTGATGATGGCTTAGTTCTTTCAGAGGAACCAGGTTTGATTCCCGGCGGTCATGGCTGCTCACAGCTGTCTGTAACTACAGTTGTAGAGCATGCACACATGGTGCAGAAACATATGCAGGCCATGCACCTATACACGGTACACACACTAGAACAAAGCAAATGGTGGAGCATTCCTTATTATTTGATAGATAAGGAAGCTGACACTCAGCAGCATTAAGCACAGGGTTCTACCTGTTTGAATGAATTTCTTTACTTTTAGTTTAGTTTTGAGACAGGGTCTGTCTGTTGTCTTGAATGTCCTTGAACTATCTAGGTAAATGATGTTGGCTTCAGCTCACAGAGATGCAGCCTTCCCCTGCCTCCCAAGTGCTGGGAATAAAAGCATACATAACCACACTTAGCTGTTTAAAATGGGTTTTTAAGTCCCATTTTCTTTAATCATATTACTCTTTTTCCTGAGATTTATTTTTATTATTTTGATTTGCTTTTGGGTTGATTTGGTTTGATTTTTTTGAAACAGGGTTTCTCTGTGTAGCTTTGGAGTCTCCTGGCACTTACTCTGTAGACCAGACTGGCCCCAAACTCATATAGATCTGCCTGCCTCTGCCTCTGCCTCTGCCTCCCAGATGCTGGGATTAAAGGTGTGCACCATCACCACCGGGCTAGTTTAAAATCTTTAATGCAATGTGTTTTGATTGTGTTTTTCCCCTCTCCCAGTTCCTCCTAGATTCTCCCCACCCCCCTACCCACTCAATTTCATGTTCTTTTTCTCCCTCAAGCAAAAAAAATGAAAACCAAAACAAACAAAAACTAGTAAGATTAGAAAAAAAAAAATGCCAAAACTAAAGGCCACAGAGAAACCTTGGAGTTCATTATGTGTTAGCCAACTAACTCCTCCCAAACATGGATCTTTCCTTGGAGTGTGGTTGATTTGACCAGTGACACTCCCTTTCCTAGTAGATTTCAATTGGAATTAACTTTTCATGCCCACTTCCCTTTCCAGTGGTGGGATCTTGTCCAGTTTGAACCGATGCAGGTCTTGTGCATGCTGCCGTAGTATTCTCTGTGATTTCATAATTGCATTAGTCCTTTTGTGTCTGGAAGACTGTTTACTTGGAGTCATCCACCACCTCTGGCTCCTGCAATCTTTCTGCCTCCTCTACTGCGTAGGTCCCTGAGCTCTTTTGGGGTGGGGGTGGGGGGGCGTAGTGTGAAGACATTCCATTTAAAACTGAGTGCTCCCAAGTCTCTCACTGCATATGCTCTGGCTGTGGTCTCTATTAATTCTCATATACAAAGACCCTCTGATGATGGCTGAGTGGTACACTGCTGTGAGGTTTGTTTTGTTTTTATTTATATAAGAAAGTGTGCCTGTGTTAGTGGGTGCCATATGTAGGTGGAGACCAGAAGAGGGCATCGTATCCCTTGCGAGCTGGAGTTAGAGGTCATTGTGTGAAGAACCAAACTTGGTCTTCTGTAAGTGCAGTAAGTGCTCTGAACCAGCTCTTCAGCTCTCCTTCAGTCTCTTTTTGTTGTTGGGGTTTCGTTTTGTTGTTTGCTCAGACATGGTTTCTTTGTGTAACCCTGGCTGTCCTGGAACTCACTATGTAGACCAGGCTGGCCTCGAACTCACAGATATCCTACCTCTGCCTCCCAAATGCAGGGATTAAAGGCATACGCAATTACTCCCCACCTAGCCCTTGGACTCATCATGTTTTGCCTTAAATATATTGACTTATTTGGGATAATCATTTTTTGGGTTACCAGAGAAAGGCTTTAAAACATTTTAACTTTCTTTCTCTTGCTCACTCTCTTTTTTAATCCGTAGGTACACTGAAAGCTATTCTGATGATGATTCAAACATGGAAGATTACCCAGATCCACAGGTAAGCTACACATTCAATGAGCCCACTTTGATTTCTTTCTTTCTTTTAAGATTCCTGTATTTTCATGTATGTATATGACTGTTTTACCTGCATGTCTGCGCACCATATGCATGTCTGATGCCTGGGGTCAGAAGAGGGCGTTGGATCCCCTGGAACTGGAGTTAGGGGCCACCATGTGTGTCCTGGGAACTGAACCTGGGTCTCTGAAAGAGCAGCTGATGTTCTTAGCTGCTGAGCCATCATTCCAGCCCCACTTTTTTTTCCTTACTCATTATGAACCTCTCTTAGAAGAAAAGTCAAAAATAGAATGAAGGACCTTGTCCATCTTTATCAATACATAATTGAATGATTCCTGTACACACCATCAATGCTTTAATCTTCCTTCCGGTACTTATGTTTGTATAATGAGTTATATGAAGGAAAAGGAGGGAAAACTAAAGGTGGATTAGAATAGTAAAGGAAGTAGTAATAAAACAGAAACTCAGCAGGTCTGTGTCACCTTTATATCTCAGTACCTGGGAGGCCTATGCAGTCAGATCTTTGAGTACAAGGCTAGCATGTTCTACGTACCACATTCCAGGCTAGCTAGGCTACATAAATGGCCATACTTTCTGCCTGGGAGGCAGCATTACTGATGCCAGGCCTAAATAAAAAGATACAGCATAATGTGCCAAGTTACTTATCAGTTGCTTCTTAGTTTTCCCTCTTTGGTAAATGAGGCTTTGAATTTATTAACAGTGATTACAGTTCTCCGTTAAATTTGACCCTGCATTGAGTTGATGACTCACTGGTTACCAGTCCACTTCCTATCTCTTCATTTTATTTAATCACGAATTATGAATTGGCCTGGTTCTCTGTTACCTTAGAGTGGTTACAGTAGTTTTGAAGAGTAGAAGCTTGTTTGGGAACTAACTAACCAATACCTGTGAATTCCGACTGTAAATATTGTCAGAGAAGTTGTTTAAAGTAAAATACACAAAGCTTTTTAGTTTAGGTACTGGAGCTTTAATATTGCATGAGTAACTTAGACTAAAATCATGTTTCTACCAGTCAGCAAATCACATGAACAGTTCCCTGCTATCTTTGTATCGGAAAGGAAACTCTGACTCTGTTTCAAACACTCCGAAGTTGGAACAGAGAGAAGCCACCACTTCAACACCATTGCTGACTTCTAAAATGGACTCCATGCCATTGAAGACCCCTGCCAGAGCATCTGAGGGAGGATGGTTCATTGACAAAACCCCAGGTGGAAAGAAAGAAAGTCTTCCCTTGGACCTGTCAGATGACCAAAGCAATTATAAGCAGCCAGATTCTGAGATACAGGTATTTTTATAGTGAGAATTTAGTTCCATGTATTGGAGTGTATTGCAGTCTTTTCATTGAATGTAGTATCAAACTAATTCTTAAAACTCCATCTTCTTTTTTTTTTTTTTTTGCTGCTTCTGTCCTAGTCCACAACCTTTATTGCTTTAACTATTGAATAGATTTCCAAGTGTAATCTGTGTCTTGTTACTCTACTCTATTTTCACATAGCGGTATCTTTTCACGAAGTTGGGTACTGCCATCTGTGTCAGACTTTTAAATTCAGTGAGAAATGCTCAGAAACAGTTTCAAGGAAGAAGGACCTATTGGGGCGAGCTAGCGTTGCTTCTAGGCCTGAGGTGAGGTGTAGCAGCATGGTGAAAAGAACATGGTAGAGCCTAGCTGCTCACCTCATTGAACCATGGAGCAGTCTCAGGAAGGGACATCCACCACTCCCCAGTGACCCTTTCTTCCAGCTTGGTTCCACCTCCTAATACCTGTTCAGCTATGCACTCAAACGGTCAGTCCATTGGTGAAGCTAGTACCCTCGTGATCCTGTCTCCACCCAGGGACTGAATTTTTAACATATGAACTGTGGGATACTTCATACCCAAACCACAATACCATCCTACTATTTATATTCCTTTAGTGGCTTCATTCAGTCCCAGATCAAAAGCCACAAAGCCCTGTATGATTTGTTCACCCTGTTGTTTCTTGATGTCACTGTTTGTCTCCCCTGCTGTTCCTCAGTGACAGCAAGTTCTTGCTGTTTGTAGAGCACTAAGGTCTCTCTCACTTGGGATGTTAGCACCTGAACTTTCTAGCTAGAACACTTTCTCCAGACTTCTTTACAGCCCTTTCTCTTGTAATATCTAGAGAACCTTACACGCCATGGAGTTAAATTGTAATGTACCTGCTGTTTCCTAAGTTTCTCACTCTTGTGTGTGCCTAACTGCGTGCACATGTGTAAGTGTAACATACCAGAGATTAATAATGTCAGATGTTTTCCTTAATTGCTGTCCACTTCTTCTTTGAGAAGGAAAAGTCAGCTGGGCAGTGGTGATGCATGCCTGAGTTCAAGCTATCCTGGTCTATGGAGTGAGTTCCAGGATAGCTGGGGCCACCTAGAGAATTCCTGTCTAAAACACACATACCACACGCACACTCATACACATACTCACTCAGGTAGTAGCAGCGGTGGTCTCAAAGTCTCTCACTAAATCTGGGGCTTTCTGATTCCTCTAGCCTGGCTGACCAGCAAGCTCCAGGGAACCGCTTGTCTTTGCCTCCATGGCACTGGCATTATTGACCACCCTATTACAGCTTTGTGTGTGTGTATGTTGGGGGAGGGCTGATTTGAACTTAGTTCTCATGATTTTATGATAATGACTTACTGACTGAGCCCTATCTGTTTGATTTTGGGTCTTGGAATAGAATCTCTTGTAGTCTAGTACAACCTCGAAATTGCTGTATATCTAAGAATGCTCTTACCTTTTGATCCTTTCAGTTTCACCCCAAAAGTCTTGGGGGTATGAGTTTTCCTTTTATATTATTAATGGGCCTTTCCCCAAATATCTTTGTTTTAAGCTGTAACTATTCATCTATGAAGAGCATTATTATAATTGGTAAGAACCTGATGTTTATCTGCATTAAGTCTTTCAGACAAGATTAAATTTAACTGTTCAACTGGCAGAGCCTGCAAAGAAAGTTATCAAATGTTAAGATTTAAGCTGTGCTTTTAGGTTTCTGAAGAAAGGAAGCATCCTTAAGCAAAGAAATTGTCAATAGTTAGCAGTGCTAAAGCACAAGTAAGTGTGTGTGTGTGTGTGTGTGTGTGTGTGTGTGTGTGTGTGTGTATTACTGCCTTTGAAAAACCATCTGTTAGCATTGTAATTTGAAGTACAGGATACATAAATTTGTATTTTCTTTCCAGAATTTAAAAGATTCTTCTCTTCTGGAAAGTGATAAGAAAAGGAAAGGTAGGCCAAAGGGCAAAGGAAACAAAAGAAAGACAGAGCATCTTCAAGAAGTAGATGGAGAAGTAGAAGCTGTTCTGCAGAAGAAAGGTGAGTTATGGAGAGTAGCAGATGGCAGTGGTGTGTTTGCTTTGAAAGAGGGCTCACTATTTTGAGTTGTTTTGCTTAAGAAGTATTTGTGTGTGAAAATGCCTAGTTGAAAACATTTTTTTTTTAACCTAATGGAGCTTTAATTATATGTTTGTGTGGAATCACTAATCTTTTCACCTCTTTTGTTTTTTACCAGCTAAAGCAAGGAGTATAGAGTTACAGATTTCCAGTGTGAAGTTTGAAGATGTTGGAGGCAATGATGCAACATTAAAAGTTAGTGCCAATTGAGAAATGGCATTACATGAAATGGGTATATTGTTAAACATTTACACATATGAAGCCTGTTTGGTTTTCATTTAAATTAAAAAATTATGTATATAGGTGCTTGCATGTATGTTTGTTATGTACATAGCTGCTTGCATATATATTTATGTACCATTTGCATGCCTGGTGCCCTCAGAGGCTATAAGGGAGTGCCAGATTCCCTGGAACTGGTGTTACAGACCATGGTGAGCCACCATGTAGGTGCTAGGAAACAAACCCAGGCCTGCAAGAGCAGCCAGTGCCCTTAACCACTGGGCCATCTCTCCAGCCCTACATCTTTGGTTTTTAGTGTGAAGTGAGTGTAGAAAAGAAGACTGGGAAGGTGAGATGGGCAAACCTGGTCCTTGAGGTTGCCATAGAGAAAGCTTCTTGTCTTTCATGTTTTTATTTCTAGTGTGTATAAAGTGCATGCTTTATAAGTTAGACTGTTCTGACAGTGCTAATGTAATCACTACTGTTTTTTAGTGTCCCCTCTGTTAGTTACTTCTCGTGGTGTTTTATGAGGAAGATATTTTTACAGCTTGGGAAACAGAAGCATGGAGATGTCGTTGAAGTGATTTACACAATATAGCAAAGCTAGGTTTCAAGCTTAAGTTAAAGCCTAATGCCTGTATTCTACTTAGTATGATTTGGTGTTCCAAAACAATAGGACATCACATTCTACTTTGCCTCTTTCTGACTTGGGCTGGTGAAGATACCTTCTATGCATATTCCTTGACAGGAAGTCTGCAAAATGCTCATACACATGCGCCACCCGGAAGTATACCAACACCTTGGTGTCACCCCGCCTCGTGGAGTTCTCTTGCATGGACCACCAGGCTGCGGGAAGACATTACTTGCACATGCAATTGCTGGGGTAAGGCTAGTTGATGCTGGATTTTAATTTTTTTGTCATTATTTTTCTCTTTGGTCGATTCCAATTAGACCTGATATCTTTTTAGGACGCAAACTTGATGAGTAAGAAATTTCCCTTCCTCCTCCTCTCCCTCTCTTTCTTCCTCCCATATCTGCTTCCTCGTTGTCTTTTTGTTGTTGTTTTAAGACAGGGTTTCTCATTGACCCTGATCATATTTAACTTGGCTAGACTATCTGGCCAGCCAACTCTGGGGATCGTACTGGGGTTACAGATGTGGAACCCCATCAGTGTAAACTCAGGTTCTCATGCTGTAAGCACTTTACAGACTGAGCCAGTCCCAGTCCCAGCTTTATTTTATTTACCTTCTTCATGATGCTCCTTTTGCTGGTTTTTTTGTTTGTTTGGTTGATTTTTTTTTTCCTGGCTGTCTTGGAACTCTCTGAAGACCAGGCTAGCCTTGAACTCAGAGAACTTTGTCTGCCTCTGCCTCCCAAGTGCTGAGATTAAAAGTGTGTGCCACCAACACCCCTTTTGCTGTTTTTTTTTTTTTTAATGAATATAATTATTGTGCTATGACAGAAATTGGATAGGAAGCAAAATGGCATACCTATAAAAACACTTTCCAAATATTTAGTTTACATTTTAGTAACTTCTTTACTCTTTATCCAAGTTTTTCTTAAAAGCACCAAAATATCGGGGGCTGGAGAGATGACTCAGAGATTAAAGGTTGCTTTTCCAGGGGTCTTGAGTTCAATTCTCAGCAACCACATGGTGGCTCATAACCATCTATAGTGAGATCTCGTGCCCTCTTCTGGAATGCAGGCATACATGCAGGCAAAACAGTGTATACATAATCAAATCTTTTTTTTTTTTTTTTAAAGCACCAAAATAGGAAAAAATAGTATTTTTTTTCTTGAAGTTAAATTTATTTAAAATTTCTATTGTTAAAATGCCTTCTAAAATAGTTTTAAAAGATGACTTAGGCATGGTAATACACACCTGAAATTTCAGTATTTGTGGCATTAAGGTAGGATTGCAAGTTTAACTCTTCTGGGCTTTAAATTTTGTATAGTTCTTTCCATCCCTGTACCCACAAAAATACAATTATTTTGCAAAATAAAAAGCTAGCAATTCTAATTTTGTCCTATCAAATTTTTCAGAAACTTAACTTCATCGTAAAATGCAAAGTAATCGAAGGAGCTTCAACTAGCAGAATAGCATGTTATTCTAATCATTAATAGAGCAAGCTCTCACTTTTTAAAGGGAACTTGATTTGTCTTTTTAAAAATAAGGTTATTTTAGCTAGGTGGTAGTGGTGCACGCCTTTAAAATCAGCACTCGGGAGGTAGAGGCAGGTGGATCTCTGTGTGTTTGAGGCCAGTCTGGTCTACAGAGTGAGTTCCAGGATAGCTAGGACTACACAGAGAAACCCTGTCTCAAAAAACCAAATAAATAAGTAAATTTTTTTCATGGGCACTGCATAGCAGACCTTGGAACATACTGTTTGCATTTATGTGTTTGGGTAAATCCCCAGGTTTCCAGGCAGCCTTGAACTCAAAGCTTTAGTGGTGTAATCCACTCTAATTGGTGGTTAAATCCATAGACTTCAGTTTTTTGAGACAAGGTTTCTCTGTGTATCCCTGGCTGTCCTAGTACTCACTCTGTAGACCAGGCTGGCCTTGAATTGTACCTCCTGAGTGCTGGGACTATAGGTGTGTGCCACCACCGCCTGGGCGACTGTTTGTTTGTTTATTTAGATTTATTTATTGGTTATTTGTGAGTATTTTGCCTGTCTGTGTATCTATGCACCATGTGCATGTCTGGTGTCCATGGAAGTGAGAAAAGAAAAGGGTGTGGATCCCCTGGAGCTGGAGTTACAGGCAGTTGTGAGCTGCCATGTGGGAGCTCTTAACTCCTGAGCCCATCTCTAAATTTTAGAGTAGTGTGGGTCGTTGCACCCCCACACAAAGATGGAGTTCCTTGGGGAATTGTAGAGGCCCCAAAGATAGTTCCAGGGGTAAAGGTGCCCCCCACCACACTTGATGACCAACCCTGTGATGAAACCAGAAACAAACAAGGTGGAAGGAGAGCACCAACTTCTACAAGTGGTCCTCTGACCTCCACATGTGTACAATGGCACACATATGCCTGCACACATACATGCCTGTACACGCAAAAATAATAAATATTAAAAAAAAATGAAGAGATGACTCAGGGGTTAAGAGCACTGACTGCTCTTCCAGAGGAGCTTGGGTAAATTCCTAGCATCCACACAGCAGCTCCCAGCTATCTGTAATTCCACTTCCAGAGGACCTGACACTCATGGCAAAAAAAAAAAAAAAAAAAAAAAAAAAAAAAAACCAGAAAACTAATTGTGATGGGGCAGATTGCCTAAGAAAAGTGCAGGGTAGTTAAATTGTATTTAGTCTTTGGTCATTCTTTTCTGTATTTTACACAGGAACTTGACTTGCCAATTCTGAAAGTGGCTGCACCAGAGATTGTGTCAGGAGTTTCAGGGGAGTCTGAGCAAAAGCTCAGAGATTTATTTGACCAAGCTGTGGTGAGTCACCTGTTGCCTACGCCCTTTCGTCACTTGCTGCAAGTTTTCTTAGAGATTTGGCTTTTCTGATGCTAGTATTTTTTATCCCACTTACTTTCCTTTTGTAAAAATGTTCAGTTGTAAAAATTTAAAGAGGATTTAATTATACAGACTCTTAGTAAGTAATCATCTGATTCATATGAAGTCAGACATAAGGTCTGACTGTCGTACCTGAGAGTCAAATGTTCAAAACATCTTGTCCCTATGATACGTTGTTCACTTTGTTTCTACAGCTTATGTTTGACTAAACAACTTATAAACACATGAGTATTATCATACTTAGGATTATGCAAGCACTGCAAAACTCAAGGATAAACGTTTATATGATTAGAGGTATGAAAAGGAATTTCACTTACCAGGGAGAGAAATTATACCTAACTACAATTTCTGTTACTAAAATTTATAAGAGGCTATTTGGATCCAGTCGAAGTTATATCTTCAGCGTTGTATGGTATTTAAATGTCTATGCTGTCATCCAAAAGTTGAAGACTAATTCAGTGTGATCACATATCATGTTGTGAAAAAGACCCATCCACTCTACTCTTGTTCCTAATAGTAACGTGGCGATGATGACAATACCCACCTCTCATGGAGTTTCTGAGTGTTTAGATCAGAAGATTCATGTTCTTTCAGATGGTATATTGCCATGTTGTCTAGCCTGGCCTTTCATTCCTGGCCAAGCAGCCTTCCTACCTCAGCCTCCCAAATGCTGTGCTTAAGCTATCCACCACCATGCCCAGTTGAAAGACTTCTTATAAAACCTTTAACGTTGTGTCTCGTTGAGCAAGAGTCCTGTAAGTCATGACATGTATACTTGGGCAGACATGATCATCACTGTAACTAAAACTAAAAAGTGATGCAAAGTTTTTCATGTCATGTTCCCTTCCTTTCCTAGCCCTTGCAGACAGGGTCTTATGTAACCCAGTCTGACCTCAGACTTGTTATAACTGTGGGTGACTTTGAACCCCTGCTTTTACCCAGTGTTGAAATGACAGTTGTGTTCCACCACACTGGATTTAATCTTACATCTTATTTGCATCTAAACATTTGTCTCATAAACATAACCATTGTAACTACTAGAAGCTGATGTGAAATTAGGAGAGAAATGTATTTTAACAGCAATAATAATAATTAATACATTTGTAATAATAATTATTAAATGATAAGAATAATTTATTAATTTTTGAAGGTGTCTCACTGTATAGCCCTAGTTAACCTAGAACACACTATGTAGATCAGGTTGGCCTGAATCTTAACACAGCCTGCCTTGCTGTGTTGTGTCACCATGCCCAGCAAGGGAAATGTTTTTAGGGGGGTGGGAAGCAATAGAGGCTAGCTGCTGGGAACTGTTGTGTAGACTGGCAGCAAAGTGGATAGATGGTACCAGGAAGACCCAGAGAAAGCATGAAGATGACAGTGTTGGACATTTTTCTAAATGGTGTACAAATGGTACACATAACTGTTTGTCTTCGTCACTGTTCTGTTGCTGTGGTAAGATGCCAGGACCAGTGCAACTTACAGAAGAAAGAGTTTACAGTCTCAGAGTCAGCCTGTGACCACCATGGCAGGAAGCATGGCAGCAGGTAGACAGGCATGGTGCTGGCACAGGAGCTGAGAGCTTACATCCTCATCTACAAACATGAGGCAGACAAAGCTAACTGTGAATGACCACACCTCCTAATCCTTCCCAAACAATTCACCAACTGGGAACCAAGTATTCAAATATGAGCCCAGTGTATGGGTGGGGGTCATTCTCATTCAAACCACCATGGAAGATTTTGTGTTTATGGTAAACACAATGGCAAGTATGGATACAAAGACAAATGCCATATTTAGGTCATTAGTTCTCTGTTTGATCTCTCTGTACTAGTACTGAGCAAGTACAATGTTGATGCAGGTATTGAGTAAGTTCCCTGCCACTTCTTCCCTAGTCCAAGTGAGTAATGGAACGTGGTCAAGCAAGGGAGTTTTTTTCTAAAATTAGTCCCCTCCTGAGGGTAAGTTCTGGTCATCATTATTTATTCTTTCCCATTTAATTTTCCAGGTCACTGAGACCTTTGCTCTGAACTTTTACTTTTGGTGGGGTTTTTTTTGTTGTTGTTGTTTTGTTTTTGTTTGGTTGGTTGGTTTTTTTTTTTTTTTTTTTTTTCGAGACAGGGTTTCTCTGTGTAGCTTTGGAGCCTATCCTGGCACTCACTCTGGAGACCAAGCTGGCCTCGAACTCACAGAGATCTGGCTGCCTCTGCCTCCCAAGTGCTGGGATTAAAGGCGTGCGCCACCAATGCCCGGTTTTACTTTACTTTTGTAACTGATTTTTGCAAACATTGTCATGAGGAAGATTGGGGAAGACAGCCAGTAGTGATGACACTTTAGTGTCATTTTGAGGTGATCTTGTGTGACTTTTAGCACAATAAATGTCTCTATTTTGACTATGGAATGACCAAGTATGATTGAGGTTGGAGGCGTAGGTTTTTGTGTTTCGCTTAATCCTTATTCTCTCTCCCGCCCTCCGTGTGTGTGTGTGTGTGTGTGTGTGTGTGTTTGTGTGTGTGTGTAAAAACTTATATTTTATAAAATTTACTCTGTTAGCCTCTTTGTTGTCATTGTTGAGTTAGAGTATCAATTTGTATTCCAGGCTGCCCTCAAACTCATAGCAATCCTCCTGCCTTAGTCAGTGCTGGAATTACCAGCATGAACCATTTTAAAGTTCTTGTTACATTTAATTATAACGTGGGGTAGTGCACACATGTGCCAAGGCACATGTAGCATGTAGAAGTCAGGGGACACCTGATGGGAACCAGTTCTCTTATCTATAATGTAATTCCCAGGAAACTCTGGTTCTCCTTGGTGACAAGCTGCCTTCCTTACCCACCAGACAGCACTATCCTGACATTTGTGAACAGTCATCACCACCCACCCTAGAACTTTTTCATCTTCCTCACTCCCTCTCCCACCCTCCCCCAGGCCCTAGCAAACACTAGTCACTACTGTATGTCTCAGTGGATTTGACTATAGTAAGTGGCTAGTGTTTTATTTGTTTGTTTGTTTATTGGAGGGGGGGTGTTCCAGGCAGGGTTTCTCTGTAGCTTTGGAGGCTGTCCTGGCACTAGGTCTTATAGATCAGGCTAGTCTGGAACTCACAGACATCCGCCTGTCTCTGCCTCTATTTATTTTTTTACTACGTTCTGGCTAAACTTAACTATCTAGTATATGTAATTTTCTTTTTTGGTTTTTTGAGACAGGGTTTCTCCGTGTAACAGCTCTGGCTGTCCTGGAATTCTTGTAGACCAGGCTGCTCTCAATCTCACAGAGATCTGCCTGCCTCTGCCTTCGAGTGCTGAAATTAAAGGCATGAGCCACCAACACCATCCAGCCAAATTCTGACATTTTTTGTGTTAGAGGAAAACTCCTCTATCATTTGAGCAAACTGGGATTTTCTAGTTTGAAACTTATTTTTATTTGGGAGGGGGGAGTTTCAAGACAGAGTTTCTCTGTGGCTTTGGAGGCTTTCCTGGAACTAGCTCTTGTAGACCAGGCTGGTCTCGAACTCACAGAGGTCCTCCTGCCTCTGCCTCTGCCTCCCCAGTGCCGGGACTAAAGGCGTGTACCACTACCGGCCGGCCTTGAAACTTATTTTTATTTTGGTTTTGTGAAATGGTATCTCATCTAGCCAGCCTGTCTTGGAGCTAGAAGTGTTGCGTAGGATGTCCTTGAAGTCTTGATCTTTCCAAGTGCCAGAAATATTAGCATGTGACACTAATTCTTAGTTTAAAGCTTTTAAATGTACTGCTTATATTCTGTAGCAAGCAGATATATCTCACTTACAGAAGATACTTCAGAAACCATGATGCACTCGGTCCTTTAAGCATCTTGGTTCTCTTGGGACATAGCACTCAGAAGCATTTCTGTGAACAGCCTCTCCATAGTTTTTCTTTGATGACTGATCTTGAGCTTTCACTTTCTAAAGAATACATAAACGTTATGCACTAATATAGAGAATTTATTGTATAGTCATATCTTTATGGTATTTTCATTTCTAGTCAAACGCCCCCTGTATTGTTTTCATTGATGAAATCGATGCTATTACCCCCAAAAGAGAAGTTGCTTCAAAAGATATGGAAAGAAGAATTGTAGCCCAGCTTCTAACCTGCATGGATGGTCAGTTTAAAATAATGAATTTCTTTTAAGATATTTCTTAAAATAATACAAGTCATATGTGCATGTATGAACCATTTAAATAGTGAATCTCACAAAACAGGATCTTTTTTGTAGAAGATTTACCAGTCATTTCAAATTGTTTCGCACTGTGTGTGTGTGTGTGTGTGTGTGTATCTGTGGGTGCACATATGTGTGCCAGGAGTCTATACCAGTGTATGTGAGAAGGGATCCCAGAGGTCAATTTCAGATGACATTATTTAGGAGCTATCATTAGTTGAACTGGCTTGGTGCTTGACAAATAGGCTAGGGTGGCTGGCCTGTGAGCCCCAGGGATCTGCCTGTCCCCACCTCCCCAGCACTGGGATTACAAATGTGCCATGTTATATGCATTTTTTAATTAATTAATTAATTAATTAATTATTGGTTTCTCTGTGTAGCTTTGGAGCCTATCCTGGCACTCACTCTGGATACCAGGCTGGCCTCAAACTCACAGAGATCCGACTGCCTCTTCCTCCCGAGTGCTGGAATTAAAGGCATGTGCCACCAACACCCGGCGCCCCCCCCTTTTTTTTTTTTTTTTTTTTTTTTAATGTGGGTTCTGGGAATTGAACTCACAACATCATGCTTATATACCAAGCATTTTTTTTGTACCTGAGCCATCTCCCCAACTCTGTAGTAATTAAATATGCTTATACTAATATTGTTTTGCTTTTGCTGTCTACAATTTTAGGGTACCTACTGTTGTCCCTTAAGGATATCATTGGGAGAGAAATGTTAAAATTTTAACATTTTTGCATTTTAATGCGTTTATATTAATCTCTTAGAAAAATATTTTTACTTTTGACCTGGTGTGGTTTTGGGTGCCTTTAATCCCAACACCCAGGAGGCAGAGACAGGTGGATCTCTGATCTCAAGGTCAGCCTGGACTACAGAGTGAATTCCAGGACAGCCAGAGCTACAAAGTGAATCCCTGTCTCTATCCCCCCTTCCACAAAACAGTATTTTAAGAATGTGGATATGTGGAGGTTTGCATTGCCTGAGGAGGCCGTAGGATCCCTTACAGTTACTGGTCATTTTGAGTCCCAGGCCTGGGCATTTGAAACCAAACTGGGGTCCTGTGAAGAACAGTTTGAGCTCTTAACTGCTGAGCCATTTCTCTAATCCTATGTTCACCGCTTGTTAACTGCTAATAATAGTTTTAAGTTTACTGTGCAGATTTAAGTATATCTACCAATGTTTCCATATAGAGTTTGAGGCCAGCGTGGGCTATATAGTGAATAGTCCAGCCAGGGATATGTCACGAAAACAAACAAAAATAAGAAAAGAAATAGCACATATTTTGGTGTCATATTCCTATAATCTATTATCCGAGCACATAGAAAGCTGTGACAGGAATTGTCATGAGTTGTAGGCTAGGCTGGGTTACATAGTGAATTTCAGGCCCAGCCTGGTCTTACAGGTGAGACCCTGTCTCAAAACAAAACAAAAAATACAAAAGGAAAGTTAATTTGAAATATTACATAACATAGTATATATTATGAGTTTTTTGTTTTGTTTTGTTGGCTTTGTTTTTTTTGTTTTTTGTTTTTTTGTTTTTTTTTCTCTTGTTTTGGTTTTTCAAGACAGGGTTTCTCTGTGCTTTGGAGCTTGTTCTGGAAGTCTGTAGACCAGGCTGACCTCGAATGCACAGAGATTCACCTGTCTCTGTTGTCTCCTGAGTGCTGGCATTAACGGCATATACCACCACTGCCTTATGAGTGCCAAATTGTAAATTACTTGTAGTTTTCCTTTTGTGCGGTGCCAGGGATTGAACCTGGGTGTGTGCCCTGCAAGCTCTCTATCATTGAATTACACCCCTAGTACCCTATGCTGTTTCATTTTCATCTTAATTTTTTTCTGCCATGTTTTTGAGGCCTACATTCTGAGAACAGCTTTTCATAGATTCTTGCTAATCAAATACTGTCCATTATTTACAATGTATTTACCATTTGGGTACCAGGATAACCCAGACTCTCCTATTTAATTCTGGTTCAGCTAACAGAATACTTACAAAGGAAAAACTGATAGGATACTTGTGAAAGATAAAATTTAAGCCCTGTATTCTGTCTGTTCCTAAAAAAATCTGTCTCTAACGTAAGCCAGAGCAGCTTGGGTTATTCTGTACCACCATCTGGTCCTCTCCCATCCTTTTGAGACAACATTGCTGACTTACTCATCCCCCACTGCTGGGCCGCTCACACTGTCTGGGTGTGCCCTGCATGTTTGCCTGTGTGCTTTCACTCATGCTGCTGTTCACTGTAGAACTTGAGTAACTTAGCTCTGCTTGTGGAAACGATGCTTGCTCTCTGGCATCCTGCAGGGTTTGTGTCTGTGAAACCTCCATCATTCCCTCTCTTGCTCTATTACAGTGCTGGGTTTATCCCAATTGCTATTAAACTCCTTGAAACTTGTCTTTCATTATGTTTCCTTAGTTATACATTTCATATTCCTCAGTAGACCTGCTAATTGCTGGTAAGAAGGGCAGTCTTTATCTTCTTCACACTTTCACTGTGTTAGGCAAGAATTGCTTTATATATCAAACTACACAGATTCTGTAACTTTTTAAATGTTTATTTATTGTATATACAGTGTTCTGTCAGCTTGTTTCCTACAAGCCAGAAGAGGGCACCAGATAGTATTACAGATGGTTGTGAGCCACCATGTGGTTGCTGGGAATTGAACTCAGGACCTCTGGAAGAGCAGCCAGTGTTCTTAACCTCTGAGCCATCTCTCCATTCCTCTGTAACCTTTTAATGGTTTTTGTAAACATTGTTTTTCAAATGTCAGATGGCTTATTCTCTTTTATTTCTGGTTCTCACTAGATCTGAATAATGTGGCAGCTACAGCTCGAGTGCTAGTTGTTGGAGCTACCAACCGACCAGACTCGTTGGATCCTGCTCTGAGGCGTGCAGGAAGGTTTGACCGAGAAATATGCCTGGGTATCCCAGATGAGGCTTCTAGAGAAAGGTATATTCTTATAGAATGATGCCACTCTGTGAGCTGAGCAATAAAAATAGTTTTAAAAATAAATATTAACAAAACTATGTAGTATTTGTTTGAGCTCTAGTGTACTCTATCTCATGTCTTTCTTTCTCTCTCGTTTGTTCTTTTTCTTCTCCCCCCTGGTTTGAGAATTGAACTAAGGGCTTCAAATGTGTTGGCAAGCAGCCTACCATTGAGCTGTATTTCCAGGCCCTCTTCTCGTTTTCTCTCTCTAAAACTGATGTGGAAAAGAAAAAAACAATGTTTAATGAAACAACTCACTCATCAATAGGACATTTGTTTTAGGTTGTTCAGTAATGGTAATCATTGTTTGTTGATTGCTGTTTGTCTGATACTATCAATGGAGCATGTGTTTTAGTTGGCTCACCAGCTAAGGGGCAGTGTCTATACCTGTAGAGTAGTGTGGTGCCATCTGATCCATATTCTGGTTAAGTCTGAAGACCATTGCACTTGTCTGCCTGAGACTGTGGTTCTCATAAAAAAGATGCTGACGAACTCTGCCTGGTGATTGGTGGGGAAAGAACAAAGAGCTATACACCAAGAACCAAAAATAAAACCAATAACCAGAATGTTTTTGTTTTTTTTTTTTACATTAATGATAGTTTATTATATCATGGGGAGAGTGAGTGAGGGAGAAATAGAAGAACAGAGTAGGATAGAGAGTAAGAGAGAAGAGAGACAGAGTTAATGGCTGACGGCAATGGTCGGTTGCTAGAGAGAGAGCCAGAATGCTTTAAGGAAAGGTAGTAGAGTAGAAATATAGTGAATTAATGCTGTAAACTATAACCTTTATGGTTTTTTTTCTGGTAGTTGTGATACTAAAATAATCACTAGCAACTTTTAGGAAAAGTAATAAATAATGAAAGGAAATCATTGCCTTAGAGGGCCAGGAAGGGTGGAGACTGTGGTCAGAAAGCACTGTGTGTAGGCTCAGCCACAGGTCTGTGCTGTACCTTCCTTCTTCCCAATGTTAGATGTCACTTCATTTTTCTTTCTTTCTTTCTTTCTTTCTTTCTTTCTTTCTTTTTTTTAAAGATTTTATTTATTTATTATGTATACAGCATTCTGTTTCCATGTATATCCACACACCAAAAAGAGGGCACCAGATCTCATAACAGATGGTTGTGAGCCACCATGTGGTTGCTGGGAATTGAACTCAGGACCTCTGGAAGATCAGTCGGTGCCCTTAACCTCTGAGCCATCTCTCCAGCCAGTCACTTCATTTTTCTAAAATAATGACCATTCAACAGTTTCTAAGATGTTGACTTCATAATTATTTGTATAGATAATGCTTATGTTCATACATATTCTTCAGAAAGCTTACTGACAGTTTACTAATACTTTTATAATCTCCATCAAAATAATAATATTCATATTACTCATTTATTTAGGACGTGTAGAGCAGCCAAGCAACATGGTCCACACCTGTAGTCTCAGAGCTGTGACTCAATGCAGTGGTCCACACCAGTTATCTCAGAGCTGTGATTCAATGCAGTGGTCCACACCTGTAGTCTCAGCTGTGACTCAGTGCAGCGGTCCACACCTGTAGTCTGTAGTGGTCCACACCAGTAATCTCAGGAAGTAACCCCAGTTCGGCCTCATAGTATCCTCATGCCAAGCTTTAGCTTTACACAAAAATGATGATTAAAAAGGTAGCTTACTTTGTGTGTGAAATAGTAATAATGCTTTAGCTGTAAGAGTTGTGAAGAGTGAATTAATGTAACCTAGCACAGTGTCTTTCTTAATACAGAAAAAAAAATTTAGTGCTATGCTGGGGGTTGCATTCCAGAGTCTTGCACCATACTAGATGAGTGCTTTCTTTTTCACTGAACTTTGCCCCAGCCCTAGAAGTGAAGTTTTAGGATAACGCATTAGTTTATCTTTGATTTATTTGTTTAATGTTTATTTTACCTATGTGTATGGTTTTGCACCACATGCATGCCTGATGCCCATGGAGGTAGAGAGAGGGTGTCAGATCTCCTGGAAAGTAGAGTTACACACAGTTTTTGAGTTGTCAGTGGGTGCTGGGAATCAAACCCAGGTCCTCTGCAAGAGCAGCAAGTGCTTTAAACCACTAAGGCACCTCTTCGTACACCCCCAAACCCTACCTTTTGTTTCCTACATACATGAAAAGAGAGCTATCGTGTACCTGCACTGCCCTCTCTTCTACTCAGGGAACTGAGGCAGAAGATCACTTGAGCTGAGGGATCAGAATTAGCCAGGAAAACACCTGCAATCCTAGTACTTGGGAGGTGGAGGAAGGAGGGTTGAGTTGAAGGCCATCCGTCACTATATACAAGGGTTGAGTTGTATGAGACTCTGTCTCAAAATCCAAACCCCTGGAGCTGCAGAGATGGCTCAGAGGTTAAGAGCACTGGCTGCTCTTCCAGAGGTCCTGAGTTCAATTCCCAGCACCCACATGGTGGCTCACAATCATCTGTAATGAAATCTGGTGCCCTCTAGAACACTGTATACATAATAAACAAAATCTTTTAAAAATTCCAAACCCCTGCAATGTTTGGATTATCTTGATGTTTGAAACATCAAGATAAGTATCATTATGAAACTTTCATTATATGTAATGAATATATGCTTTGGAAAGATGACTTGTAGAGCTTTGTATGAAGGAACATGGCTTTAATTGTAGTTTTTGGGTGGCAGAGACAGTCTGTGAGTTTAAGATTAGCCTGTTGTACATATCAAGTTGTAGGGGAACAAGAGCTATACACTAAAACTCTGTTTCAAGGGGAAAAACAAACTTGGTACTGAATCTGTGCTTATATTCCTTATACTGCATCACATAGTTCCCATATTTAGCATAAGCTTTTCTGGAATGAAGTTGGGCATATAGTAGTGACTAGGCATTTATTGAGTGAATAATTTTTTTCATCTTATATATCATTCATTATGATACTGTCAGTAGGGATTAATATGTATGAGCTTTCAAATAAATACAGTTAGAATTTGCTTTTACTATTATATCTAGGAGTCAAAATTTTTTAAACTGTCATTTCTACAGAATACTTCAAACTTTGTGCCGGAAACTGAGACTTCCAGAAACTTTTAATTTTTGTCACTTAGCACATCTGACGCCTGGCTTTGTTGGTGCTGATCTGATGGCACTTTGCCGGGAGGCAGCCATGTGTGCCGTCAATAGAGTCTTGATGAAGCAACAGGAGCAGCAGCAGAGTCCTGAGATGGAAGGTTTGCCCCCTAAAGGAGCCCAGGAGGAGAGGCTGGGGGCTGAGCCCTCCTCTGACACACAGGTGCTCCCCCCCCCCCCCCCCCCCCGGGTTTCTCTGTGTAATAGTTCTAGCCTTCCTGGAACTCACTTTGTAGACCAGGCTGGCCCTCACTCACAGAGATTTGTCTGCCTCTGCCTCCCAAGTACTGGTATTAAAGGTGTACGCTGCCATTGCCTTGCATAGGGCAGGTTTTCTAATCTGTAAAAGTATAGTTTCACAGAAATGCTAAAAATACTTAGATTTCTTAATTTCCAGTTAGTAACTATTTTCATGCACAGACCAGCAGATGGTATAAACTTTCTATCAATGGAAGATGCATTTTATCAGATTTATCACACGTTCTACTAAGTAGAGCTGTATTTTTTCATTTTTATTTTATTTTATTTTATGTGTACGAGTGTTTTACCTGCATGTGTATATATGCAGGCATGTGTGCCTATTGTCCATGGAAGTCAGAGAGCGTTTCTGATGCCCTGGGACTGGAGTTACAGGTGGCTGTGAGGCACTTGTGGTTCTGGAATGGATCCTGGGTGGTCCATGAGAATAGTGAGTACTCTTAACCACTGAGCCATCTCCAGCCCTAGTTCTGCATTTTAAACTTACTTTGTTTAATTTAGCTTCCATATGAATTTAGCTTAAAACTTGGGGCTTATTTTAATCCAGGTATGACTTGTTCGTACCTAACAAATACCTGTAAGTATTTATTAGAAATGCTTCTGAGTGGTTGATACACCGATGAGAAATCAAGTTCTTGTTAGAGTGAGACTGCGGGAAAGATAAAAGAGAGAGCACTGTAACTGTCAGAATCTCTTGACTAATAACACATCCACAAGGTGTGGTTTTGTTTTGTTTTAATTTCGTGTACAAGTGTCTGCCTGCGTGTATCTCTGTGCACCACATGCGTGCCTGGTGTACAGGGAGACCAGAAGAGGACATTGCATCCCTTGGAACTGGAGTTACAGACAGTTCTGAGTTGCATGTGGGTACGGGGAATTGAACTTGGGTCCTGGAATAGTAGCCAGTGTTTAGCCATCTCTCTAGCCCCAGTGGTTTTAATGAGAGCAGTTTGCTACATAATCTTACCTCCCTTGATAATTTGACTGAGTCAAACACAGGTTCCTTTATTTATCTTAGTTGCTAGTATTACCTAGCACAAAGCACCCCATAAATATATCAACATCATAGATATGTGTAACGGGCTAGAGAGATGGCTCACTGGTAAAGAGCTCTTTTAGAGGATCTGGGTTCAAATCCCAGAACCCATACATATGGCAACTCTCAACTGTCCATAACTTCAGTCCCTGAAGATCCAACACCCTCTTCTGGCCTCTTCCGGCACCAGACATAACACGTTGTACACACACTTATATGTAGGCAGAACACCTATCCACATGAGTTAATCAATTAAAGAAAATTTGACAGACAGTGTGGTACACATGTTTAATCCCAGCCCTTGGGAGACAGAGGCAGAGGCAGGTAGATATCTATTATTTCCAGGCCAGCCTGGTCTACAGATCAAGTTTCAGGGTTACACAGAGAAACAGAGAACCCCTGTCTCAGGGATGGGGGTGAGGATAGGGGCTTGTTTCTGTTCCTTAATGTTCTTCACAAAAGAAGAAATTTGCAGTTCAAGATTCATTGGACTTAGCTGGGCATTGGTGGCGCACACCTTTAATCCCAGCACTCGGGAGGCAGAGGCAGTCGGATCTCTGTGAGTTCGAAGCCAGCCTGGTCTCCAGAACAAGTTCCCAGACAGGCTCCAAAGCTACACAAAGAAACCCTGTCTCAAAAAAACAAACAAAAAAAAAAAGATTGGACTTAGGAAAGTTGCCTACTGTGTATTTGATTGATAAGGTGTTATAGAGCCTTATATGAATTTATATTGTTGCCAGAGTAACTTTTCTTAAGTCAGATGCTTTATGAATATTTAGAAATTAAATGTAATTGGTAAAAAAAATGGTTATTGACCAACTGCCTATGTTTGCATTATCTGACCCAAGTTTAAGATTTAGAAACATGTTTAATATCAAATCAATCTCTCTTTTCTCTCCCCTCTCTGACTATGCTGGCCTCAAAACTTATATATTAGCTGAGGATGGCTTTGAGTGGCATGTGCCACTAATATTGGCCTAGATATTATATTTACTTATCTTGATTATAATGGATTTATCTCTATTTAACCAAATACAGGATCTGCTTAGAATTAAATGAGTGTATCTTGTGTAAAGGAGGGAGAAATTATCACAATACATAGAAATTTATTAAATTGACTATAACTTAGGGAATCTTGGGATAATTATTTAAATTACATGTAACTTTGTGATTCATACTTTTTTCATTTAACTGTTATCTTAAAGGATGACTTGCAAAGGCTCTTGAGGTTGCTAAGAGACCAAGATCCCCTCTCAGAGGAACAGATGCAAGGACTATGCATTGAGTTAAATGACTTCATTGTTGCTTTAGCAGAAGTTCAGCCTTCTGCTAAAAGAGAAGGCTTTGTAACTGTCCCTAATGTGACATGGGCCGATATTGGTGCCCTAGAAGATATTAGAGAAGAGCTCATAATGGCAATATTGGTAAGTATATCATCTGTCAGTGTCATTGACATTGGTCATGAGTTAAGAGCTTTAAAAAAAAAAAACCCTGTATGCATGTCAACCAGATTGTACTTTTTAAAACAATTTTGACTTACTATTTTATATGTATGAGTGTTTTGCTAGGTGTATATGTGTCCATGTTCATGCCTAGTTCTGGCGGAGTTCAGAAGGTATCAGAGCCCCCGGAACTAGAGTTGTAGATTGTTGAGAACAACCTTTTGTGGGTGCTGGGTTCTCTACAAGAGCAGTAAGTGCTCCTACCCACTGAACCATCTCTATTGCCCCCAAATCCATTTCTTTAGAACATAGCTCTACTGAGATACGATCAAATATTATAATAGGAAATTCAGCCTCAGTTGTTACCAACAAAGATGTCATTCTCTTGATGTCATGCTCACTATTTTGGTTATGTTTGGCTACTGTATAGTGAGTTCAAGAAAAACAAATTCAGGTTTGTTCAAGACTAATTTGTGTGAAAATCATGTTCTTATCTAGGATCAAGGCAGTTTTGACAGCCATGAAATTATGGACTGATTTTAGTTTACATTTACTTTCCTGGTAATTGACCATTTTAATTGAATTATGATCCATTTAAGAGGTTTGGACTACCAAAAGTGAAAGCGCACTAGACTTGCAGAGAACAGGTGTGTGTGACATGTGACTGTGTGCAAGGTCTGCTATGTCCTGATTTCCTGGAGAAATTTCTTAAACTTGATTTAATAATATATTAAAACAGTTTATCTTAGCCTAGGGTAACAGCTCAGTGGGTAAAGCATGTGCCATGCAAAGGTAAGGGCCTAAGTTTGTATCCACAGAAGCCATGTTATAGTGACTGTCTATAATAACTACAACACTCAAGAGGGAGACTAGAAGGGCCAACCTGCATGGTATACACAGTAGGAAAAAAGAGACAGTGACCCAAGGTGAAAGGCAGGGACACACACCAGAGATTGTTCTTTGATCTACATACATTGGCACAGATGGTAAAATGATAAAAACTAATGATATTTTTATCTTTTTACCTAATACGTTCTTACAATTTGCATGTATGTATAAATTCCTTAAGAATAGTGACTTTGGCTTAATATAATAGTACACACCTTTAATCCCTGTTCTAATAAGACAGAAGTGGACGGGTCTTTGAGCTTGAGACCAGCTTGGTCTACATATCAAGATACAGGGTAACCAGGACTACATAGTGTGACCTTGTTTCAAGAAAGAAAAAAAAAAGAGAGCCTTTCCTATTTGTCACCTTGTCACCATAAGGGTCAGCCAGTCAGTCCTATTTTCAGGCCTCATGATCAGGCTTGAGTTTAAGAGATGAGATACATTTGAACATTCAGTGTGAAGTAGACACCTATCATGGATCACTGTTGGCATTGTTTCTTCTAGGCACCAGTACGCAACCCAGACCAGTTCAGAACTCTTGGTTTGGTGACTCCTGCTGGCATCCTACTAGCCGGTCCTCCTGGTTGTGGGAAAACTCTGCTAGCAAAGGTATGGTACAAGTTCAACTGCATGCGTTGTGTTTCTTGTTTTCAGTAGGATAATAAAGACTTAAATAATATCATGAAATAAATCCTTTGTATACTTTGTTTGAAATCTACCAGTTTGAAATCAACCAGTTTGAAAACTGGTTGTTGTTGTTTTTCCAATAAAATTTTCTATTGTTTGTCCTTCTTTAGAACAAAATGGTTTTAATTGGTTGTGCCACCCTCATTTCTGGGAAAGAAGTTATGAAACATTTCGTGAACTCACCAGTCATTTTTGTCAGGGCCCATTCTATTGTCCAAGTATTATTACATAACTTTAGTTTGTGACTGATCTTATTTCTTGCTTTTGTTTAATTTTTTTTTTAATTTCTTTATCTTTATTTTATGTGAATTGGCATTTTGACCATGGCTGCCGGGTCCCCGGAACTGGAATCACAGACAGTTTTGAGCTGCCATGTGGGTGCTGGGGATTAACCCTGGATCCGCGGAAAGAGCTATCAGTGCTCTTAACCACTAAGCCATCTCTCCAGCCCCGCTTTTGTTTAATTATTATAACTTGAGTATTTTCACTATGTTCTTTACAGTATTAAAACAAACCTTTCTGCAATAGAAAATAAATTACCAGAAGGGGGAAAATGTTTATAATCCTACAACCGCTGTTTCATTTTGTAGTCGGTTCCAGGTATTTTTCTTTTATACATATCAAGATATAATAAATGCAAGACAATTTGTTTATGAGCTTTTGTTGATGTTATCAAATGTCTAAACAACTTAAAGGTGAGGCCACATATTTCAGTCCATGGTTTCTGAGATTTAGTCCAGTATCTGGTGGCTCCATGTTTCTGTGCCTTTGGCGAGAGAGAACATCATGGCAGAAGGGTAACAAAGGAAAGCTGCTTCCCTCATGGCAGCTAGGAGCAGAGAGAGGAAGACTAGGAAGAGACTGGGAACAAGATAAATCTTTCCAGAATGTGCCCCTGGTGGCTTACATTCTCAAGCATTCCACTGTCTCTCAGATTTCTTTTTCTTTTAATATCATCTGCATTGTATGTGTGCCTGGGGCCCAGAGTGCTGTAAAGCATGTGCACGCCACGCACATGCATATGTAGACATAAGTACACATAAGGAAATTTAAAAGGTTTTTAATGCCTGTATAGTATTTTGCTATAGAGATGTTTTGTAGTTGGTGATTATGGATATGGTTACACATGCCAGGAATCCCAGTACTTGGGGACTAGAGGCATGGGATCAGGAGTTTAAGGTTATCTTCTGCCGCACAGTGAGTTTGAGGCCAGCAAAGGCCTCATGAGACCTTGACTCAAAAATCCCATTACATTACATACTCTTGTGTTCACTGGTAATTCTATTAGAATGTAGTCCTAAATCATTTTTCAGTGAATAGAACGCATGTTTTAAAGTATATCAAGGTGGCTTTCTAAAGGTTTCATCTTACAGCTGAAATTTGCAGTGGCCATTTAAAATAGCTGACCTGGAACTCATTGTATAGACCAGACTGGCTTCCAACTCACAGAGGTCTGGCCTGCCTCTCTGCCTCCTGATTCCTGGGATTAATGGTGTGTGCATGCTGCCACATCTGGCTTAAAGGTTCTTTCAGTATTTGACAATTCAATAAGTACAAAAGGGTTTTTTTCCTATTTGTCTTATTTGTATCTTTTTTTGTTTCTTCTGGCTAGGCTGTGGCAAATGAGTCTGGACTAAATTTTATATCCGTAAAAGGCCCTGAATTATTAAATATGGTAAGTTGTGTGGCAGCAGCCATTATTTTAATTTAGATAAACCTTGGTAAGTTGGACCTTGGCGCTAGGCTCTCTGAATAGTTGTGCCATTTTGACAACGTCTCTGTTGTAGAGATGGAAGATTGAGGTTGCTGTAACATGGGGTTTGTAAATGCTTTCTTGAATACGTTGTTTACTTATGAACTTGAGTTTCTGCACCTTTAAAAATGGAAATGATTATTAGGTATTAACATTGAAATATATTTGTGCTATTTATCAGACACTTCAAATACTTTTATTCTTGAACATCCTTGTAAATTATGAGTTGTTTTTCTCTGTGTACAGATACCATGTGTATGGAGGCCACAGGTCTACCTTGGGTGGAGCTGTCCACCTTGTGTTTTAAGGCAAGGTCTCTTAGTGGACCTGGGGCTTATGAGACTATACTACTAGCCTGTGAACCCCAGGAATGTGTACCTTTCTTATTTAGTTGGTTAATTCTTTTTAAATTTCTAGGGAAGGATATAATATAAATGAGCCTTGAAGGAAGCAGATTGGTAGACAATGAAGTTGGGACAGGTTGTAGCTAAATACTGAAGAGCCTTCACACCAAGCTAGAATTTAGATGCTATGTTTAAAGCAAAAGTAAAATGCTTTGAAGACAAGATTTTAAATTAGCATGAAAAAGTTGAGGACTATAAGAAGTTGTGGAGTGTACACACCGAACGGATCATTGTCACCCAGTTTGGAGGAGGAACAATACATTTGAAGCTTTCTGCAGACCCTCCTTAACCATGTCCTCAGTCTCTTCCTTAAAATGTGCTTCAGTCTCGGCTTCGGTGTTTGTTCTAGTCAGATGCCTGGAGTCCTTTTCTGCCAGCATAGCAGCAGTGAGAGGACTAAAGATGCTCTTGGTCATTGGTAGCTTTTGCTACCACAGCTGTCAGGTGGTAACTCTAGCGCCACACTTCTTATGCAGGCCTCAGGTACCAGGACCCTCAGCCCTGCAGGTGGAACATAAAGAAAGCTGCTGTGTGTGCTTAGGAAGCTGGGATTCCTTAGCCCTTTGCAGTAGCCAGTGTTTGCTGTGGCAGCTGCCACTGTGGACAGGTAGTCCTCTTCTGCACATGTCAGAGCAGCAGTCTGTTTGTCTGGGTTTGCTGCCTGGCATACTTAGATTCACATCTGTCACTTAATGAAATTTAAATCTATCCTTTTGGAACTTTAGGCTAATTTTTCCCTAACTTGAATTCATTTTCCTGGGCCATTTTGGTTTGCTATACCCAACATTCTATTGCCAATGTGGTAGTTGCTTTCTTCCATTCCTGTCTTGACATTTTATCTCCCTAGCCATTTAAAAATTTAAAAATATCTGCTCTGGGGTCAGCAAAATGACTCAGCAGGTAAAATCAACTAAGGTTAACCCCAAAGATCTGAGTTCAGTTCCTAGAACCCATATGATGGAAGGAGAGAAGGAATTTCCACAAGTTGTCAGACTTGCATATGCATGCTGTGGCATGCTGCCTCCCTTACCATACAGAAAATAAATAAGTGAGAAAATGAAATATCTACAGAATTGTAGAGTGAGTTTGTGTTGTATGTATTGGGGTGGTGCACAGGTGTGTGGGTACACAGATGTATAGTGATCGTCTCGCCAGCAAGAATGACACAGGACACTCAGATCCTTCTGCAGTAAAGCTTTAATGCATCTTGAGAGGGAGAGCATAAGCTTACAGAGCGGAGACCCCGAACTCCCAAAAACCCATCCCTTATATAGGCTGGCAACCGCCGCCGCCTCCGACGCGTCGCCCCCTGACTGGCTGTAGCTCATCGGACCATATGACGCCACGGGAGAGGCAGAGACCAAGGGATGGAAAGTTACCCAGCGCCTGCGCACTAACTTGTTTACCATTCGGTGCCTGCCAGATGCAGGCGCCATCTTGTAATGGAGAATGCAGGGACGGCTCCCTACAGTATAGGTGTGTGGAGAGGCCAGAAATATACCTTGGATGTTGTTCTTCAGGTTCTGTCTACCTTGTTTTATTGAGACAGGGTTTCTGAGTGGACTGGAACTTGCCAGTTGGTCCAGATTGGCTGAACAGCAAACCCCAAGGATTCTCCTGTGTTGGGATTATGTAAATTCTAGCCACCACGCTGATCTTTTCATGTGGGTCCTCAGATCCTCACACTTGCACAGCAAGCTTTGTGTCTCCCCAACCCAGACCTGCTCTTACTTTGTGTTCGTTATGAAGACTCCTTTTCTTTTTTACAATGATGTATGGGTCTTGTGCATGCTGGCAAATGCGGTACTACTTGAGCTATACTCTTAGCTCTCTCAGAAAAGTTCTTATGTCTGGTAAACAGCAAATCCTTTTCCTTATATGTGAATTGTCTTATTACTCAGTGCTACTTATGGATTGCTATGTTTCCTTGACTGAACTTAATGTTTCTATTTAAATTTAGATTTTAACGTGGACTAAGCCATTGTGAATTTATGAGATGCCAAGTGCATTCACTCTGACTCCACTGTTGCTATATAAAACTTTTTCTTATTTTAGTAAGAATATTTGTTTATATATGGGAGTAGACATTGATTTGATTTGTGTGTTTTCAAAATACTGTTGGATAAGTAACAATTACTCCTGTATATTTTACTGTATAAGAAATAGGAAATTGGTTTTAGACTGCAATAGAATTATGGGATTTCTTTTTTAACTAGAGATTTTATATATAAAGTTGTAATTGGCTGTCCGTTTTGTTTGTTTGGTTTGTTGTGTTTTTTGAGACAGGGTTTCTCTCTGTTTAGTAGCACTGACTATCCTGGAACTCACTTTGTAGACTATGCTGATCTTGAAGTCACAGAGATCCACCTGCCTCTGCCTCCTGAGTGCTGGCCTTAAAGGTGTGGGCCACCACTGCCCCACAGCTGTCTTTAAGGGAAGGCTTTGCTGTGTAGTCCAGGCTGATTTGAAACTGATGGTCCCCCTGTCTCACTCTCCGAAATACTGAGATTAGAGGGGTATGCCAGCATATACAGGACAACTGCCTGTTTTTATAAAATATCAAAAGGATTTAATACTAGCAATTGCATATGGTTTAATCTAGTACTTTTTAGAACTCTTGACATGTATATGGCTTCAAGTACTTTTTAAAATACTTTTTAAATTAAAATATAGTCACATTTGATCCCTTCCCTTTCTTCTATCCAACCACTCCTGTGTGCCTCTCCCTCTGCTCTTTCTCTTAAATTCATAGCCTCTTTTTCTTTAATTGTTGTTTAATATTCCTAAATGTATAAATACATAAGGTCTACATGACAGAAAGCTACTATTGCTGTCATTTGATACTCAGCCCACTATTAAACCGTCTCTCAATTTTTTATCTACTTTGTGTTCGTGTTTAGTATGTTGGAGAAAGTGAACGTGCTGTGCGACAGGTTTTTCAACGGGCCAAGAACTCAGCACCCTGTGTGATATTTTTTGATGAAGTAGATGCTTTATGTCCTCGGAGATCAGACCGAGAAGTAAGTATCGAAGGGTTTTTATATAAAAATTCATATAAGTCACATTTGTGGAAATTCCTTTCAGCTGATTACTCTTCTGACAAGTTGCTGGTGATAGCATTGCATGCTCCATGTGTCAGTATTTTCCCTGTGGTATACTATTCCACAATCTAGCCACAGCAGGATATACTTGACAATGTCTTGCTTCCAGCAATTTCTTCTAGGGGTCTCCTTTACAAACAGAACTTTCTCAGACATTTGTATCTGCTATGTTTGTGCACATATACAAATAATGTGGGCTAGAATTTGGGAAGTATGAATCATGGCTGAAGATGTATATATATTAGACTTAGATATTGATTGAATAGAGTAAGTACTATGGCATATTTCAGAGAATCTGTCAATTATATAATAACCAAGAACAATGTGTTAAATTGACCATTTTCTACACCTTTTCAACCTAAGAGTAGGCTGAACCCCCCTCCCTTTTTTTTGGTCAGTTTTATTAACAAAACATATTTTGTGTATATGGTCTTCATTTCTGGAAAGATTGACCATTTTCAGTAAATTTGTCTTTTGTCATCAGTAACTTACTTGATAATATCAGATACACTTGAACTTTCTTACTCCTGAAATGTTTCTCTCTTTTTTTTAATAATTTATTTAACTTCATTTTATGTGCATTGGTGTGAAGGTATGAGATCTCATGGAACTGGAGTTGTAGACAGTTGTGAGCTGTCATGTGGGTGCTGGGAATTGAACTCGGGTCCTCTGGAAAAGCAGTCAGTGCTGAGCCTTCTGTCCAGCCCCCCTGAATTGTTACTTGATTAGAGCTCTTTATATGGAGTGAAAATTGGTCCCTTTTCTATCTAGTTCAGCCTAACATCTGTTCTCTGGTCTTATTACTTATCCTTTTTTTGTTATAGAGTGTAATAATTTTAGCTTATTATTACAGTCTATCAGCCTTTATTGATTCTGTAGTTTTTCTCTTGGTTAAGGAGGATAATTTTTAATTTTGTTTTAGAATGGATGTGTACATGTATGTGATGCATGTATGTGATGTTTGCTGCTTGTGTCCAGGTGTGCATTCACAGAGACCAGAGGAGGGTGTCAGGTGTCCCGCTCCACCACTCTGACTTACTCCCTTTGAGACATGGTCCCTTACTGCTCCTGGAGCTAGGTTGGTGGTTAGCAAGCCCCAGTGAGCTCCTAACCTGCGTCCTCTACCAGGCCTCCACACTCTGCTTTTTATGTGGGTTCTGGGATCCGAATTCAGGTTCTCAAATGTGTGTGGCAAATGAGTCATCTCGACAGCCTCACAGTCTCTCTCCCCACCCTCCTCTCTCTTCTTCTTTTCAATACAGGGTTTCTTTGTGTAGCCCTGGCTGTCCCGTAACTGACTGTGTGTAGCAAGTCTCTCTTTGTATTGCAAACTCCCGAATAATGACATGGAGACTAATTCATTAATTATGAAAGCTTGACCTTAGCTTAGACTTGGCCCACTAGCTCTTATAACTTGAATTAACCCTTTATTTTACTCTACATTCTGTCTCGTGGCTCATTGCCTCATCTCTCTGTACTGCCCATGCTGCTTCCTCTGTATCTGGCTGGAACCCTGCCTGTTTTCTTCTCTGCGTCCTCTCTGTCCCCAGAAGCCCTGCCTAACCTCTTCCTGCCTAGCCATTGGCCGTCCAGCTCTTTATTAAACCAATCACAGTGACACATCTTCACACAGTGTAAAGGGGTATTCTACAACATCTTTGTATATCAGGCTGGCCTCAAACTCACAGAGATACATCTTCCTCGGCCTCTCGAGTGTTAGGATTAAAGGCGTGAACCCACCACCACCTGGCTAAAATCTAGTAATTCTTGATGTTATTGAGTCTAGATTATGAGTCTATTAATGTCTTAATTATTAGTACAGTATCACCAGAAAGTAATATGTCTCCACAAATGCATCCTTCTAAAAGAATCAGTGGGTTTAAGCTCATTGCTGTGTCTATACGTAAATTTATGTTGAAGAAAGGCAATTAATAATAAAAGATCTATAGCATTACTTTCTCATTTCCTTCATTGTTTATGTATTGTTGGCATGTTTCCACATCTCTGGAACCCTATACTTCTATTTCTAGATTTAGGTGACCCTCTGCCTTAGCCTCTGAGTCCCTGGGACTTCTGGGTTCTTGCTACTGTTCAGTCACTGTGTCTTTCTTCAGCAGAAGCTCTCATTCAAGTTAGTCAATGAAAATGGAGGAAGGAGGCTGCTTTCTTTATGTTGAAGGTGATGGAACCAGACTTTTGTTTTTTGTTTTTTGTAGACAGGTGCTAGTGTCCGTGTGGTGAATCAGCTGCTGACGGAGATGGATGGGTTGGAAACACGTCAGCAAGTTTTTATTTTGGCTGCCACTAATAGGCCAGGTAAGAAAGAAGAACATTACACAACTGAGTTCATAAAGTGAAATATAGCTTAGAGAGCTCTTGTGAATGTTGCAGTAAAAAACATTGGGGCTGGAGAGGTGGCTCCACAGTTTAGAACACTCACCCACAGGGCAGCACACAGCTGTGTGTAACTCCGTTCCCAGGGGCTCTACTGCAAGCATGTGATACACAGACATATTTGCAGGCAAAACACTATACAGATAAGATCTTAATTAATTAATAAATAAATAATTAATAAATCTCTTTAAATGTAAAGAAAAACATTATTTTCTGCTTCTCCTGAAATTGTTTTTTTCTCTATTGAATTTTGTGCTGGTTGTTTTTGTTGTCTCTCCTTGACACAATCTAGAGTCACCTGGGAAGAGGGAACTTCATTTGACTAATTAGTTGCTCAGATGAGATTAGTCCTTGGCCATCTCTGTAAGAGATTATGTTGCGTATTAATTGACATGAGTGGCAACCTCCCTAGGCAGGTGGATAAAGGCTGCAGAAGAAAGCTAGCCCTAGAGAGACAGATGATTCAGAGGTTAAAGGCACTTGAGCTCTTGCTGAAGACTTGGGTTTAGTTCCCTGCACCTGCTCACAACCAGTTCTGGGGGATCCTGTGCTCTTTCTTGGTCTCTGGGCACCAGAGACACACAGTGCACATCTGTACATGTAGGCAAACCCCTGAGGAAACATGTAAAAATAAATAAATCTTTAGAGCAAGGGAAGGTTGATTGAGTATGAGCCAGTAAGCAAGCAAGCCCTTAGCAGTATTAACTGTAAATCCAATAAATATTTTCCCCTTAGTAGCTTTTGGTCATTTTTTAGTCTTGATGCTTATCACAGTGATAGAAGGTAAACTAGAACAATTCTAATTAATAAAGTTGTCCATGTCAGCAAATACTTCCACTATATTTTTTTGTTTCTGGTTTGTTAATTTGTTTTTTGAGACAGAATATTGCTATGTAGGTTGGCCTTGAGCCATCTGTCTTCCTACCTTGGTTTCCTGAGTGCTGAGATTATAGGCCTGGACCACCATGCCTGGCATAGTGCACACTCTTAACCCTAAAGTCGTCTCAGAATCGGTGTGCTGAAGGCATGCCTCATTATTGGCTTGCACCTATGATTTAAAAATGGTTTTCAAGCTTAAGCATTCTGTTAGATTTAAAAAAAAAAGTCTAAAAACTTCCAAGGTGCCTTTCTGTTTTACTGTAATTTCTGTTCATATTTTTAACCCTTTGCCCTCCCTGCAATCCAGACTTTCATAGATGGTCAGTCTCCTGTGATGTTTTGATAACTGTCTGCTAGCCAGGACACTGTCGAATTCTCTAGAGCTAGAGGTACTGGGCACTTGTAAGCCACCTGCCATTGCTATTGGGATCCAAACTCAGGTGCTGATCGAAGAGCATCTGGTGCTGTTAACCATTGAGTCATCTCCCCGGCCCCATCCTGTGTGTGAGCAGATTTTGGTTTTGGTTTGTTTTCTTTTTTTGAGATGGGGTCTCACAGAATAGCCCTGGAAGGCCCTGCCTCAGCCTCTGTAAGTACTGTGATGACAGATACAGACTCTTTACTTGGCCCTTTGAATGGATTTCTCAGTTGTCTAAGTGACGTAAAGTTTTCATTTGGATTAAGTTACTATAGAAACCCAACCTATGATGTACCCACCATTTCATTTTATAATGAAAAATGTAAAGTTATGGTTTATAGTTTCACTTTGTTAAAAAATAAAATGTGATCATGACAGACCTGGGCTTGAGTACTCGTTGTAGGACACCCCTTGGGGGAGGGGGTGGGAAGACACAACACCAACTACTCAGGCACTGGGAATCAGGGAGTAGCCAAGCGTGCTGCAGACTCGTTTATTAAGGAAGTTAGAGCTGCCTTTATACCTCCTCCCAAGGTCCCATTGGCTCAGGGGGCTGACTCTGTTACATTGTCCTTTCCTCATTGGTGTCTCTGGGCATAGAGGCAGGCTTGGCTCAGAGAGGAAGTGCCTGCCTGAAATGCTCATGTAGGCTGGCCTGCTTAGGTAGGCTGGCCGCAGTTTCTCCTACAACATGGTACCTAGTATAGAATTTCACTAACTGGGAGCTTTCCTTAAACTTCAGGGGCCAGAATTTTTATTGGGACTTCATTATGGACACTGTCTTAGTGTTCTATTGCTTTGAAGAGTCATTATGACTATGGCAAGGCTTACCAAAGAAAGGGTTGCTGATAGTTTCAGAGGTCCATTGTCATCACAGGCAGACATGGTGTTGAAGAGGTAGCTGAAAGTTCTCCATCAGGATCCACAGCTAGGAGGAAGAGAGAGACTCTGGGCTGGGCTTTTTGAAATCTCACAGCCCACCCCACTTCCTTCAACAAGACCACACCCACTTCAGCAATAGTGCCACTCCCTAAGCATTCAAACCACCACAGAGACAGAGTGGTGTCTTTTTTCCCCAGAATTCAGAGAGGGTGTGGCTCAAAATTTGAACACTGATTTCATTCCTGGTCGGTGTTATGACTGATCCTCATCCTAACAGTATCTAGAGACTCATCATTAGTATAGCAAAGACACTTGTCACAGGAGCAAAGCCTATGTATATTCTTTGTGATGGTTTTGCCTTGTTTTGTTGTTTGAGACAGTCTTTTTATGTAGCCTGCCCTGGCCTCCTAAGTGACGACAGGGTGGCAGTTGTGTACCACCATTTCCAGTGTGTGTGTGTGTGTGTGTGTGTGTGTGTGTGTGTGTGTGTGTGTGTGTGTAGTAATACCATATATTACTACATCTTAGTGACTGTCAGGTGACAATACCTTCTTGGCAGGGTTGTCTTATAGTCTGAGTGGTGTTGATAATGTTAACAGGACATGAGCAATTACAATACTAGTATTGGGAATTGTAGGGTTTCTGTTGCTGTGAAGAGACAACTCCTTTGAAGGAAAATGTAATTGGGGCTGGCTTACAGCTTCAGAATTTAGTCCATTATCATCAGGGTACTAGTCATGGCAGCACGTGGGCAGACACGCTGCTGGAGAAGGAGCTGAGAGTCCTACATCTAGATCTGCAGATAGCACAGGGAGAGAGTGTGCTGCACTGGCTGTGACTGGGGTGTATAGGAGACCTCAAAGCCCGCCCCAGAGTGACGTCACACTTTTTATAATAAGGTCACACCTATTCACTCCAAAGAGGCCACAACTTTCGGTCACCTAGTCTATGGGGGCCATACCTATTCAAACCACCACAAGAATAATTATTGGTCATAAGATTTATAGAGTCTTTCAAGACAAAACCTTGAAAGTCCTTTAGATTTAAATATGATCCTACATTACCTTTCTTGAGCATATATATTTTTTTCCCAACAGATTGTCTGCCAGGCTTCTGTAGCAGCATCTTCTGTCCTTACTGGGCTATATGCCATTGTTCATATTTATGTGCTGAAAGCAATTTTGGCTTTTATTTATTTCAGTAGACTAGAGAATAATAGGCCAATCGGTATAGATGGATTTTTCTTTTTGGGTCACCAGCTCACAAAAAAATGATAGAGGCATAATTGTTAATTATGAAACATTATAAATTTATAAATTATAAAATTTTAAAAAATTATAAATTTATTAAGACAGGGTTTCTCTATGTAAGAGCTCTGGCAGTCCTGGAACTCACTACATAGACCAGGCTGACCTCAAACTCACAGAGATCCAAGTACCTCTGCCTTCCAGGTGCTGGCTGGGATTAAAGGCATGCCTCACTGCTCCCCACTAAGTGCCCACATTTTTGTGTTTTTTATGTGGGTTAAGTTTTTGCCTGCATGTATGCATGTCCACTGTGAAATTTAAATGACAGCAGATTTATATCAAAAAATAATAAAGGCTAGCAAGAAGTGTTATAATACTTTTCAAGAGGTGAAAAAACTGTCAATTCAGAGCTTTGTATCCAACAAACATGTATTTCAGAATACATTCTTAGGTAAAGAACTAAGAAAATCTGCCATGAGCCAAGATACTCCAGAAGAATAGCTAAAGGAAGGACTGGGGGTGTAATTTGCTTAGTAATAGAGCTTAGCGTGCAAGCCCTTAGCTTGCCCTGTACTGGGGAAAAACTTAATAGTTAAAAGAATGAAATGTAAGTGAATGCAGTAGAGTTTTCCTTGTGTGGTTTTTTTTGGCAGGGGGTGGGGGGGTATTTAGATTTGCTTGCATAAACACTGGTCTTAACCATTGATACTTCTTACACTCCCTGTCTTGGTGTGTTGAAAAAGTTTTGTTTACAAATGGGTTCTTGGTGGGGAAGTCAGGAAATTTTATAGTAAGCCTCAGGGTTGTGGCAGTATGAAGCTCAGCACTGTGCCATAGCTACTAAGAGCCAGGAACAGAAAGAAACATAAGATAGTTGGATTATTTGGTAAGTAGTAGTCTTTGATTGTGGGGGGTATGAAATCTGTGTGTGGGTGTGGGTGTACACGAATGGGTGTGGACAACATAGGGTGTCTTCCTCAGTGTTCACCTTGTTTTTTGAGATAGGATTTCTCACCAAACCAGGAACTCGATATGGCTTGATTGGCTAACCAGCAAGCACCAGGATCCTCTTATCTCTCCCTTCCCAGTGCTGATGTTAACGGCAGTGCTGCCATCCTTTGATTTTTATGTGAGTTCTGGGGATTTGAACTTAGGTTCTAATTCTTGCATTGTAAACTCTTAACCAATTAAGCACTGTCCCAGTCCCAGAGCGTTTGACTTTTAACAATACCCAATTGCCCACATTTTTCAGCTTTCAGCTTTTTTTCAAAAGGAACTCTGGCTTTCACTAACTACATAAAAAAAAAAAAAAAAAAAAACAACTGTCGTATTTAATTTATTTCTCCTTTTGTCTCTTCTCCAGATATCATTGACCCTGCCATTCTGCGCCCAGGCCGCCTGGACAAAACACTCTTTGTAGGTTTGCCACCCCCAGCAGACCGTGTTGCCATATTAAAGACTATCACAAAAGTGAGTAAACGAAATTATTTTTTGTTATGTTTATATCACTTAAAATGTATTTGGTTTATGTATATGAATGTCTGCATGAATTTATGTGCACTACATGTAAGCAGTTGCCCAGTAATGTCAGAAGGAGGAATCAAATTTTTGGGACTGGGGTGAACCATCTCTCTAGCCCTGCCCATATCACTTTTAAAGTTATACCAGATAGTAATTTAGGGTTGGCTGATGACTCTGTATAGCTTAACTGTTTAACAGGCCTCCATCTCCCAAAGTGGGCTGGCTTTGATCACTAAATACATTGTCCATTCTCATTTTTCCTACTCAAAATGAAGGTAAACTAAATGAAGGATTAGAGTTAATGTTCAACCAGCCTTAGCAGATATTATTGCAATCATGTTCCCCGTGTCTTTAAATCTTTGATCATCAGTTCCTGTCTGAATGGAGTAAGAAATAAAGCAAGTAAATACAGGTCCATCGGAAACATTCAGTGTCGAGGTTGGGTTTTGGGTGAGGGATTAAAAAGCAACATCTTAATGCCAGGCAGTGGTGTCACACGCCTGCAATCCTAGCACTCGGGAGGCAGAGGCAGGTGGATCTCTGTGAGTTCAAGGCCAGCCTGAGTGGTTTTTGAGGTGTTGTTTGGGGGGGGGGGGGGGGGGGGGGGGTTGAGGCAGGGTCTTGGGTACTGTGTAGAGCAGGCTCCTTTCATTCTCAACAAGTTGGTTTCAGTGTTATTCTCCTTCTAGTCGGTCTCATAACATAAATTCCTTACGGCTTCTGACATGCCAGTCTGCCTCTTATCCTAACTCTCCGGACTGAACTCTGTGGCTCGCGCTCTGCGTTGATTTTGGAGTTGGTTCTAATCCCTTAGTCATAGGCCTTTCTTCTTCATAAGAACCAGTGACGTGGATGCATGTGAATCATGAATGCCTCAAACAAAGCTCACATTTCTCTCTTCTCAGAATGGCACCAAGCCGCCGCTGGGTGAAGATGTAAATTTGGAAGCAATTGCCAATGACCTTCGTTGTAATTGCTATACGTGAGTATTGAAGTCTCTGGTCTAAATACATTTTATGAGCAAGAGATAAACTTTGTAATCTTAAAATATTAGTCTCTGGTTCCTTCACCCTCTGGAGTATAGCTTCTTCATCAACAGGAGAGAAAAAGATGCCCATTTCTCAGGTTGTTGGAAAAGCTAATGAGGTTTTCTGTGTAACACCTTACCTAATGCCTGGTGGTTCTTGCTGCCTCCTCAGAGGACAGCTTGCTTGCCCATTTGGATGTTGAATTCCTGACGTAGACGATGCTATTGGCACTCAAGCTTGCCTGACCACTTGGTCGCCCTTCACTATTAGTTCTACTTGCAGCATATGTAAAGCCTTGCTCCTCGCTGGAGGTTAATCTGCCAGGCTGTGCTCCCTGCTCACATGTACATTGAGCCTGCAACAGCAGCCTGATGACTGATACTTCTGCCTTCAGCTTTTGTGTATTCTTGTTATGGATTAGCTGAGACCCTCCCTCCAGCCACTCTGTTATTTTAAAGCCCTGTTGTTTGTCCCTAACACCTTTGGTAGTTGATATTTGCCTCTAGAGCACGGCCAGCTAACACTGGACTTGCCACCAGTAGTAAGGTAAGTGAGTCAGTATTTCATTGTTGAGGGCTTCAGGGCTGTTGCTCAGCAGAGCAAACTTACTTCCAAGGGTTTCTGTGTGGCTTTGGAGTTCTAGAACTCGCTCTGTAGACCAGGCTGGCCTCAAACTCAGAGATCCGCCTGTCTCTGCCTCCCGAGTGCCGGGATTAAAGACGTGCGCCACCACCGCCACTATCACCACTAGGGTCACGAGTTGGTCTTGAATGGTAACATAGACACTTGATTATTGAATACCTGGAAATGAGGTTTTAGTTCTAAAATTCATATCCTTTCTTAAAAATTCTTTGTGGATTGTGTTAAAGCTAAGTATAGGAAGTCCCAGTCAAACACTGGTGCTTCACTGACTTCTTAGGACTATGCTGACCCAGCCTGTTATTGCCTTGAATATTTATTACTTGTAATAATTGCACAATGAAACTTTGGGGGGCGTGTCTTGTGTCTGTTCACTCAGCTTTGTATATGTGTGTGCAAGCACACTCGTGCACTTATGTCCACGTTCATCCAGGTGTGTGCAGGTGCCTGTGGAGATCAGAGTACAAACTACTTTAGGTACTTAGGTGTTGTTCCTCAGAAGCCACCTTGTATTTTGAGACAGGATGGGTTTTGGTTTTGGTCTTGTTATTGTTTTAAATCCTAGAGCTCATGCCTATTAGACTAGGCTGAGTCACCAGTGAACTCCAGGGAGCTGCCTGGGCTTTGACTGGGCTTCTTTTTCTTTTCTTTTTCCTTTCCTTTCTTATTCTTTTTTTTTTTTTTTAAATGTAGTTTCCAGGAATTGAATTCCTGTCATTGTACCCTAGCCTCTGGGTGGATATTTTATATCTACATTAGTATCTACGGCTAATAGGAAGGACATTTTTAGTTTTCATTGTATCATGCCTTCCACAAATCCTTCTGTTCTGGAGGTTAAAAGCTCTCTCCTACTGATCCCAGTCAGCTTGCCCCACCTTCATTCATTGCCCTTTCGTCATTAAGTATATTATAATTGAACGTCTCTCTTGGCTTTTAGAATTCCTAAGAATACATAAGAGCACTTCGTTTTTTACAGGGGAGCAGACCTCTCTGCTTTGGTACGAGAAGCTTCTCTCTGTGCCCTGAGACAAGAAATGACAGGACAGAAGACCACAGTTGGAGCAGGTATGAGGCCCTCTGGGATCTCTCCACTCTAGTGTACCATTCTGGATATTATAAGCCCTGCTGCCCTTTAAAGAGATTGTTTTCTAGCATTTTTAAGACAATGTGTAATAAAGGTGACTGTTTTGATGAGACCTTTAGAAACTGTTGTGGAATATTATGTAAATTCTTGTTGACACAATATTCGTTAGTATCTTTGTTTTTGGTGTTTGGTTTTTGGTTTTTTGAGACAGGGTTTCTCTGTGGCATTGGAGGCTGTCCTGGAACTAGCTCTTGTAGACCAGGCTGGTCTCGAACTTACAGAGATCCACCTGCCTCTGCCTCCTGGGATTAAAGGCGTGCGCCACCACCGCCCGGCTTCGTTAGTATCTTTGTAATAAGCAGCATTGTATTTTGTCAGTATACACAGTAACTAGATAGAAACAGATGTGTTTCTTCACTGCCATTATCATGAGTTTGCTACTTAACAATTTGGAAAATCATAATTCTTTTGCTAAAAATAAAATCCACTTACCTGTTGAAATTCAACCTAAATTGGAAAGATTAAGAAACATAATTTTCCATATATCAAGATTTTCCTTTCAAATATAAAATCAGATGGCAACTTTTGTCACTCGGTGATGGAGATTTTTCTTAGCATGTGCAAGGCTCAGGATTCTTTCCCCAACATTACAAAAGCCAGAAAGTCCAAAGACAAAACCCATGTATTCCTTTATGGAAGCGTGTTTGTTGTTTACTTCACATGCAGTAGTATTTTTGGTGTTACTTTTAGGGTATGTGTGTCCAGAAAAGATTCACTTTTGGCTGTATTCTAGCTATGCCAAGTACAGAAGTAGCCCTTACTGTGTCTGCGGAGCTTTGTGCTGTACAGGATGTAGTCTCACTGGACCTTCAAGTGTGTGCTGGTCCCCATTACAACCCTGTCCAATCCAGTTTAGTGACATGCATTTGTATCCTCCACGTTTGTGTCTTTGAGAGCTTGTAGCCTTTGTTACTCAGTAGAGTGAGTTTGTATTCCAGAGCACACTTGATAGCAATACAGGTTCCTGGTTATTTCTAGTTCGCTTGGCTATCGCTTCTTATACTCTCTTATTATTCGACCTGTGTGAGCAGCATACACAGCTTAGCTTCAGCTATTTTTCTTCCATCCCAACATTCCTGAGAGACAGAATGACTCCCAACAGTCCTGTTTCCCCAAATGAATAAATGGAGAGACTCTCAGTAAGGCAAGGCTGGAGACAGGTGTGTTAAATGCACTTGGATAGGTTCCATCTGATCACCCATATCAATTTTCCTGTCTTTCAAGTTCCCGGACTATACTGAGGTGTGTGTTTATGCATTTCCTCCACAGGTGAGCTCAAAGTCAGCCATAAGCATTTTGAAGAAGCTTTCAGAAAAGTAAAACCGTCTATATCAGCAAAGGTGAGAAACATTCCTCAGTGTCTGGAAATTACATCCATGGATAGGAACTCAGAAATGTTATTAGTTTATTTTATTTATTTTTTTATTGAGGGATACTATCTTTATATATCCTAAGCTAGCCTGAAACTCGGGAGCCTCTTGCTTCTGCCTTCCAAGTGACAGGATTACAGACATGTGCCTCTTCACTGGCACACATAGTAATAATAGGTCAAAACTTTGGGTGTTCATATCATGAAATGGTATAGCTACTTGGAAGACCACAAACCATCTCCAAATTTATTACTGAATAGAAAACATAGGAATTGTGTCTGTAATATGCTATGTATGTGAATGTGTCTGTGCTATTTCTGTTAAAGGGTGAAATAACTAATTGTAGTTTGCTTGCATTCCAGAAGGAAAATGTATATGGAAACATTGTTTATAGGAAGGAGAGGGAGAGAGAAATTCTTTTTCCCTCTCTGAAAGTTTCTTTTTTTGTTGTTGTTGTTGTTGTTGTTGTTGTTGTTGTTTTCCAAGACAGGGTTTCTCTGTGGCTTTGGAGGCTGTCCTGGAACTAGCTCTTGTAGACCAGGCTGGCCTCGAACTCACAGAGATCCGCCTGCCTCTGCCTCCCGAGTGCTGGGATTAAAGGCGTGCGCCACCACCACCCGGCTCTAAAGTTTTATATATTTTGTCTTTCACATTTATTTTGTGTGTGTGCATCTGCCAATATACTCATGCCTGCCACGTGGGGCCTAGGGACTATACTCAGGTCACCAGGCTTGGCAGCAACTGCCGTCATCCATTGAATCATCTTCTTGGCCTAAGTATTATGTATTTTTAACACTTAATGACCATTTTACCTATCCAAAGAAAATTTTAATTCAGTTAGCTTGCTTTGTTTATTCAGGGTTTTGATGTTGTTTGTTTAGGTTTTGTGTGTGTGTGTGTCTTTTGATTTTCTTGTTTGTTTGTTTTGTTATTTGAGACAGCCCAGGCTGATCTTGAACTTTCTGTCTAGCTGAGGATAGCTTTGAATTTCTGAATCTCCCGTCTCTACCTCACAGTGATGACAGTATAGACAGATGCCATGGTGTATACCAGGCATTCAATATGCCAAACCAGCTACATTCTCAGTCTGTCTTTGTCTTTTGAGACGGGGTTTCACTCCAGGCTGTCTTGAATTCATGATGATCCTCTGTCGAGACTCCCTGAGTGTTGAGATTGTAAGGCATGAGCCATCACACCTAGCTAGCATGATTGGCTTTTTAAAATAGATTTCTCTTTTATTTTTTACATTTATGGGGTTGGGGGGGGGGGACGTAGCTGAACCACAGCATGAAGCAAAAATGAGAGTATGACTTAAAAGTTCTCTCTTCCTTTCATGTGGAGTCTAAGGATTGAACTCAGGTTGTTGGAGCTGGTGGTAAATGCTTTCATCGTCTCAACCATCTTGCTGGCTCTAGGATAGATTCTAAATAGCTGGAAATAAATAAACCAGAACACATTTTAAGTTTTTCTCTGGGATAAATAGTGGGAGCAGCATTGTCATCTAACACTGAAAGTCAATATGGCAACAGTGAGCTTCCACTCCATACCTGCCGGATTGACAGAACTTTGAAAGATTGGCCACAGCGAGGGAGGCGAGGGCGTGAGATTCAAGAAGTCCCGTATATTGTACTGGAAGCAGTGGCGCAGTCACATTGGGAGCAATTCTGGCAGTTTTTTGGGATGTTAAGACACTTTAGAACCCCCTACTTTTGTTTTCTGTTTCCATCTGGATTCAGGATGGTTTACAGATGCAGACATCTCTTGACCTGGTTTGCAAACTTCCCTGGACATGGATGGAAACCATGGTGTATCTCTAGAGATGCAGGAAGGAGCAAGGCAGAGTTGCTGGGACCAGCTGCCAGGGCCACTGTGACTAAGGGCCATAGACAGGCATCTTAACAGTAGAGATTGTATTTCCTCACTGTTCTGGACCAGACTTTGTTAGAGTTCTAAGGTTTCTGTCCCCACAGCCTTCACATGTCCTTCCGTTTGTGCATTCTGTTGGGACTGAGGCCACCTTCACTGTTTTATTTTAACCTTGTCACCTTTGTGGAAGCCCTGTATAACCACACTTTGAGGTCCTAGGAGTTAGGGCTTCAGTATAGGAGCTTGCCAGTTACAACTCCCATCCCATAACTTAGTGATGAGCACTATGTGGTATTTTCTATCCTAGGATCAAATGATGTATGAGGCTCTGCAGCGCTCCCTCAGTCAGTGACGCCTGCAGTGCCTGGCAGGGAGGTGTCTTCCACATGGAGCCCACCAAGAATCACACTTGCTCTGAAGGACTTACTTTCAGCCGGATGCAGATGACCTCATTGTAAGCATTTTATTTTCAAATTATTGAGGCCCAACTGGAGAAGATGATGTCTCCTATCTGGCCAGCTTTGTAGGAAAACTCCGTATCTCCTCTTTAAGGAATAGAAGAGGAAGAAAAAAAGGACTGATAAAGCAAAGCCTTATTCAAATAAAATTTTATTTTGAACTGTCTTGATCATACATACAGTTACAAAAAACTGTTTCCCTGAGAAGTGGTCACCTTTAATCACAGCACTCAGGAGGGAGAGGCAGGTGGATCTCTGTCAGTTCGAGGCCAGCCTGGTCTCCAAAGCTACACAGAGAAACCCTGTCTTGAAAAAACCAAAAAAGAAGAAGAAGAAGAAGAAGAAGAAGAATGACATTGATGGGGCTGGAGTTAGCAATTAAGACTACACACTGCTCTTTCAGAGGACCAGGTTTGATTTCCAGCTCCCACATAGGCAGCTCTCAACTGCCTGAACTTCCGGCTCCAGGGGATCCTGGAGGACCTGTGGCTTCTATAGGCACCTGCTTTCACATGCATGTTCACTCCCACCCCACACACATACATACTTTGTAAAAAATAAAATGTATTTTTATAAAAACAGTGAAATTGATAATGGGTTGGCAAGATGGTCCGGCAGGTAAAGGTACTTGCTACCAAGCCCCACAACCTTATTTTGAAACTGGAGACCCATATGGTGGAAAGAACTAACTCCTAAGAGTTATACTTTGGTCTCTCTCTCCCCCTCTCCCTCTCTCTCTCTCTCTCTCCCTCCCCCTCCCTCCCACACACACACACACACACACACACACACACACATAAATAATAAATTGGAGAGAATATGACTGAAGTAAAATGAAGGTTACAAAGGTCAACAAGATTCCCTATTCTTGAGGACTTAAGAGAAGTTTATAGGTACTAAAGAAAATGACCCTGTCAATGAAGGACATAAAGGAGAACAGTATTGGATTCCTGAAGACCAACAGGCTAGGAAAACAAACCAGGATCAGTGGAGGCAGATGGCTGAGGAGGTCAAGAAATTAGAAGTAAGCGCCAGAAAGCCTTAAATAGTAGATCTGAGCAGTTGAGTCTGGTGCTATACTTGCTACACGCCAAATGAAAACACCACCTGGCATATCAGAGATCTTCCTGAC